GTTGACAATACGGCTTTGCTTTCTAAAGGACAGTTCAATTCATCAAAAGGATCAGCAGTAATACAGAGTTTTCCTCATAACGGAGGCTTCAATAGTGGTGGTAAGAGAAGGTCTGAGCATTTTGATAATAGGTGGTGTACTATCTGTAACAGAGGAGGGCATGACAAGGAGCATTGCTTTAAGGTGATTGGATATCCAGATTGGTGGCCAGATAAATCCAAAGCTCCAAAGAAGAACTATGCAAATGTTGCTGCTGTTGATCCAATGGAGACTCCACTGGATTTAGGGGAAGGATTATCTAAGGATTGGAATGCAATGGCTCACCAAATCAATCTCTTGCAGCAAGAATTTGGAAGGATGATGAAAGGAAAAATGGCTATGCAAGAGGACAATAGGGTCAATTTCGCACACATCACTGAGTTTGCAGATAGTACTACTTACCATCAACTCAGTTCTTATAATTCATTTGATGATGATCCTGGTTTTTTGGAGCTACAAGCCATATGCTTCATTCTTTGTCTTTGTTTTCCAATCATAAACCTGTTAGCCAAATTATACCAGTAGGTTTGCCTGATGGTAGTTTTCAGTTTGTTGAACAGATTGGAACAGTTTCTTTAACTCCTAGACTCAGCCTTCCAAATGCACTTTTTATTCCAACCTTTAAATACAACCTGATCTCTGTCAGAAAGTTTGCTCAGACTACCAATATTTACTTTTCTTTTCTGGTTGAATTGTGCATCATACAGGACCTAGTGACTAATCAGGTCCTGGGAATTGCCAAAATCTACAAAGGACTCTATGCCATCAGAAAGGACTCCTTTGATCCTCAAGAAATTCACAGCCAAATAAAGCTTCACTTGCCAAGAATTCTGCTTCATTCTACTATAGAAACACATACAAAGCCTTTACCTTGTACTAATCAGACGGTTGTTGCTTTGAATGCACATTGGCATTCTAGATTAGGTCATCCTTCTTCAGTTGTAATGCAGCAACTCAATTCTACTCTAAAAGTGCCAATGAATACCATTGTAAACTGTGATATTTGTCCTATTGCTAAACAGCAACGTTTATCTTTCCCTCAGAGTACAATTCATTCTACTACTGTGTTTGAACTCATTCATGTGGATTTGTGGGGTCCTTATGCACATCCAAACTTGTCACAAACACACTACTTTGTCACTATTGTTGGTGACTTTAGTAGATGTACTTGGACACATCTGATCCGGTACAAAACCCAAGTTCCCACAGTCTTGGAAACCTTCTTTCTTATGGTTCACACACTATTTGATACCAAGGTCAAAACCATTAGAACTGACAATGGTTCAGAGTTCATCAGTCAAGATTGTCAGTCCATATTTTCCAAATTAGGCATCTTGCACCAAAAATCATGCCCTTACACCCCACAGCAAAATGGGATTGTAGAAAGAAAGCATAAATACCTTTTGCAAGTTGCTAGAGCATTGATGTTTCAAGCTTCTCTTCCAAAAAAATTTTGGGGTGATGCTGTTCTAACAGCCACTTATTTGATCAATAGACTTCCCTCTTCCTTACTTAATTGGCAGTCACCTTATCAAATCCTTTATTCCAAGCCACCTACTATCACTCATCTAAAAACTTTTGGTTGTCAAGTTTTTGTCACCATTACTTCTCCACATTCTGATAAATTTGGGCCTAGAGCTTTCCAAGGGGTGTTCATTGGTTATCCTAATGGCCAAAAGGGCTATAAAGTTTATAGTTTACAAGATCACAAAGTCTATATTTCAAGAGATGTTATCTTCAAAGAAAACATCTTTCCTTTTTCCTCAAACCTTAAATCTTCTTCACACTCAGTCCCTCTACCAGTTGATCATTCTTTTCCGGATCAGGATGGTATCATTACCCCTGCTATTCTTTCATCAGATTCTAGTACTTCTTCTTCTGTTCCACTTCCTGATACTCTTTATTCTCCACAAATTAGGATTAGTACTAGAACTAGGAAACCACCTATTTGGATGCAGAATTATGAAACTTATTCTGCCTTTACTTCTTCATCCACTTCTTCCAGCTTTATCAGTCCTTGCACTTTCCCTTTTATTCGTCCTGATCATCTCACACCTTCTTATATGGCCTTTGTAGCTAACATTTCCAAAATTCCAGAACCACATTCATTTGAGGCGGCCTGTATGCATCCAGAATGACAAGCAGCAATGCAGCAAGAACTTGATGCTTTAGATAAAAATCAGACTTGGGATGTTACAGATTTGCCTCCTGGAAAACGGCCAATTGGTTGTAAGTGGGTATACCAGGTTAAATATAATGCAGATGGTACTCTTGATAAATATAAAGCCAGATTAGTGGCTAAAGGATACAATCAGGTAGCAGGTGAAGATTATGTGGATTCTTTTTCTCCTGTGGCAAAGCTTGTCACAGTCAGACTTTTATTTGCCATTGCTGCTACCAAGAGATGGAATCTTCATCAACTTGACATCAACAATGCATTCCTGCATGGTTATATTGATGAAGATCTATATATGAAGCTTCCACCTGGTTATTCTTGTATTGATTCTTCTAAGGTCTGCAAACTGAAGAAATCCTTATACGGTTTGAAGCAAGCCTCAAGACGGTGGAACAAAGAATTTACTCAGCAACTTAGTGGTTTTGGCTTTCAACAATCTTCTTATGATCACTGCCTATTTGTCAAGACTGAAGGACATCATTCATTTTTCTTACTAGTATATGTTGATGATGTTTTACTGACAGGTACTTCTGAGTCTATGATTTCTTCCACCAAGCAGTTTCTTCATAACACCTTCACCATTAAGGACTTAGGAGATGCCAAGTACTTCCTTGGAGTTGAAATTGCCCGTACTCAGGCCGGCATCACTCTTAACCAACGCAAATATGTGTTGGATATTATTGACAGTACTGCTCTGATTGGCTGCAAACCAGTTTCTACTTCCTTACCAAAAGGTCTCAACTTGCAAGATGCACATAGTCCTTTTTACTCTCAACCTGATCAGTACAGAAGATTAGTGGGACGTTTACTCTACCTTGGTTTCACTCGGCCGGATTTGACACACTCTACTCAGCAACTAAGTCAATATGTGCATGCTCCCCGTGATGCTCACTGGCAAGCTGCTCTTCATGTGGTCAAATACCTCAAAGGAACTCCTTCTTTGGGTCTTTTCTACTCAAGCACTTGTGATCTTGGTCTTACAGCTTTTTGTGACTCTGATTGGGCACAATGTCCTTCAACCTGGTTCTCCATTACTGGATATTGTGTATTCCTTGGCAGTTCTCTTGTTTCCTAGAAGACAAAGAAACAGACAACTGTTTCTCGCTCCTCTTGTGAAGTAGAGTATCGTAGCATGGCATCCACATCATGCGAGCTACAATGGATTCATTCCATCCTTCAGGATTTTCAGGTTTCATCTCTTCTACCTGTTCCTTTAGTATGTGATAATAAAGCAGCCCTTCACATTGCTGCCAATCCCACTTTTCACGAGCGTACAAAGCATCAGGACATAGATTGTCATCTTGTCCGTAATCTCTATAAGTCTGGCTTCTTGGATCTTTTTCATATTCGTACCTCCTCGCAGCAAGCAGATCTCTTCACCAAAACTCTTCTATCACCTCAATTCTGGTCTTTATTATCCAAGCTTAGTCTCAGTGATTTATACAATCCCTGTACTAAGCTTGAGGGGGAATCACAGAATTAAGGACTCAATTTGAGGCGTTGACAGAAGATGAAATCCAACAGCATCATATTGAAGAATCGGCACCAATTCCGGCAGCCACAGTGGATCAAGATGATCATATTATTCAAGAAATATTTGGTGTTAGTTGATTTACGTAAATGCCCTTTAGTTAGAATATGCTGTACATAATGAGTAGGGTTATACTTGTACATTTAGTCATATAGTTAATACTGTAGAAGTATACATGTATATATATACCTACGGACACATTTATTCAATATGATGAATACAATACACAAAATTCTAGATTCCCAAATTGATTGTCCCGAACCTTTGCCCTAAACCTCCATGGCCGGACCTTCTATTTTTCAGCATTGACTAAATTAGAAAAGTTATACATTTTGAAATTGGATTATTTTTGTGGGACGGAAGGAATTTTTTTTTTTTTTTCCGAGACAATCAAAGGGGGCAAAAAACTCGGGAGAAAAATGAAAACATTTGGCGAATATAAAGATTCCGATCAAGTCATGCCTGGGGAAGTAAATTAAAGTATCGTATTTTCTTTTATCAAATACAATTTCATCCGTTTCAGGGGGAAAAAAGGTCAAAAAAGGTATACTGAAGTTCAGACTTAGATTTATAAAAAATAGAATATCAAAATCAAGACAAAATTATTTTGGGTTGAATATGTTTTCGGAAGAAGGCGGCATGGGGGAATAAGTATTATTTGGCATTTCACTCTCCATGCATGCAACTTGAAATTGGATATACATAATGATATATTTGCTTGTTCATGTTTTGGCGGATTTCAACGTCTCTTTTATTGGTTTTTCCAGAAATTTTGTAGGGATTGAAAATTTGGAATATGATATGATCGATATGTCTTATTCACATAATTTTTAGTTTCAACCTCTTTCATTGTTTAAAGGATAAAAAAAAAATGTTTATGTATTATTAAGCATATGTAGCTTAACTATTTCACGTGATGATACGATTAAAAAAAATCCAAAAAAAAGAGAAAATTCTTGTTCATTTCTCGTGTAAATGTTACAATTACACTTTAATATCATCAATCTTTTTCACATTTAAAAGAAAAAACTATTGTAATTACCGTCAGAAAGAAAAAAAAAAAAAAAAACTCACATTGAGTTTGAAGATTTATAGTACTTTAATTACAAATTTAAAAAACTTAATATGAACTAACATTTCTTTTTACTGACATAGAGATTAAAGTATATAGGAAACTAATCCGAATCCGAATCACATAGGTATATCTTTTGCAAAATAAAACTTCTTTCAAGAAACATGGTAGTTATTAAGCTGAGTGAGGAAGCGAAGCAATGGAGTCAAATTTGATCGTCGCATGCTGCCATATATGGTCCCCCGGAGCAAATAATGTGTTCCGGGGCCGCCGGCCACTGGCTAAACTCTATAAATACAAAACGTCGCACTAACATACTTCAAATAACCAAACTCTTTACGTTGTTGAGTCAGATTGCACAACAACAACAACAACAAATTCATCCAAATTAACAGCATCATATATCTCTACTATTCATTCCTTCCTTTTCAGGTCTGCTCCATATATCTGTCTTTTGATTTGTGGATTGGTAGATTACACCTTTAAATATACCCAAATATTTTGTTCTGCTTCCCATTATACCAGAATAGTACTACAAAAAACTAGTGGAGTGTCGTCTGTTTTCCTCCTTCCTATCAAATCTTACCTCCATAATACTACAAAGCAACAACAAAAGAATTTATAGGATTTGGGCTAAAGAAAAACAGGGGAAATGAAAATGGAAGCAGGACTTAAGAACAAGCTCAAAGCTTTCATGTCAATGAATGCTTTGGTGGTATTCTTCTACTGCATATTACAAACAGTTGGCCAAGTTGGAGGACCATTACTTGTAAGAATCTATTTCTTGCATGGTGGAAAAAGAAAATGGCTATCAGCTTGGTTACTCACAGCTGGATTCCCCTGCATGTTCATCCCAATCACCATTTCATACTTCAAATCACAAGCCAAAAATAAGGCAACTTCCTCATCATCTTCTTCCTCAAGGATTTTGGTCACTCCTAAACTGTTTGGAGCTAGTGCTGTATTGGGATCTCTACTTGGGATTGATGGCTATTTATACACTTTTGGAATGTCTTATCTTCCAGTCTCTGTTTCTTCCCTTCTGGGCTCATCCCAACTTGCTTTTACATCAGTCTTTGCTTATTTTGTAGTGAAGCATAAGTTCACTCATTATTCAATCAATTCTGTGGTTCTTATGACCTTTGGATCGATTGTTTTGGGATTGAACATGAACGGGGATCTTCCCGCTGGCGAATCTAATGCTAATTATACACTTGGTTTTTTCATGACGATTGCCGGTGCTGCTCTTCATGGATTCTTAATGCCGGCTCTTGAATACACACATAAGAAGGCTGGAGTTGTTCTAACGTTTGATCTTGTTTTGCAAGTTCAATTCCTCATTGCGGTATTTGCTACTCTGTTTTGTACGGTTCCCATGATCATCAACCATGACTTTCAGGTATATTTTGTTTAATCAAATGTTTTATCATTTTCAAAATGTTCAAATCAGTCCTCGAACTTTTCTGTGTATTCTAATCAAAACTAATTTTTTGGTCCAAAACTCCAAATTATGCGTGTTACACATGATCTAGCTAGTAGCAAGCAAGAGAGTATTTCAAGGACTCCTTAGTAGAAGATCATCATTTTTGCAACATAAATTTTTAGCGTGTGCGATTTGAAACCAAAATGATTCGTCAGTTCTTAATTTAGAACGGAAATTTTAACAGAGAGGTAATTAAAAATGTAGACGTACAAAAATGAATAGGGTCATTTAGTTATGGACCCATTTGGGTAATTGAAGAATCATGTGTTCAAATACATTTTCAGTTGAATCTCAATAAAAATTCGACCATTTGTTGATGCAGGCTATGCCAAAAGAGGCTGCGGAATTCGAATTGGGACCAATCAAGTACTATGTGATATTAGCATTGGCAGCAATAATACTCCAATGTTTAATTATAGGAAGCATTGGGTTAATCTTTAGTTCTTCATCCTTATTTGGTGGGATTGTTTCTTCCCTTTTGGTTCCAGTCCAACAGATTTTTGCTGTCATCTTCTTACCTGAAAGCTTCAGTGCTGAAAAATGGATGGCCTTGGCAATGTGTCTATGGGGATTTGCTTCTTACTTTTATGGAGAATATAAAGTGAACCAGAAGAAGCAATCAGAGACTAGCAATGGCACCGTTCATGAGGAAGTTTGATAGTACCGTCAGAGATAACGTTATGCAACCCATTTCCTTAATTATTTTTTTTCATGTATTAATTTTATAAGTAATGTACATAGAGTAGATATGCAAGTGTTTGCATATATAATAATAATTATTAAAAAAAAAGGTGATGCAAGTGTGAATTTTCTTATGAGCAGAAAAAGTATCCTAGGACATAGATTCATAGTATTTGTATACATCTATGAATGAATGTCTCGTATCATTCCTGCATATAAGTATTTTATTACTAATTTCAACCGTCCTTTTTTTTTCTCTTTAAAGATAAAAAACAAATAAATGTTTCCACTCGATCCAAAAGATATTGCTCAACTTGAATTGTTTTTATAGAGGCTCTCAACTCCAGTTTCGTCATTATAATTTTTTACTGTTATTATTGCACTTGACAATTTCACCAATAAGCATGATAATTTAGGGAGAGCAAAGCATATGTAATAGAAAAAAAAAAAAAAAAGAGAGAATTTCATAGCTAGTAGAATACGTAAGAAAGCACCTGGGACTGGGAGTTTCCCAAGATGAAACCATGGAAATTGGAAAAGATGGTTTTACACTGTACTTCCAGAATGCACCAAACACCAAAACGCATTATCAAAATTTGAAACACATTAATTGACTACTTTAAGACTTCAGCAAGAGACAGTAAAAATAAACTATTTGAATTGTTTTTTCGGTGTGTATTTTTTTTCTATAAAAATATAAAATGGTATATTAAGAATGTAAAAAAAAGTACTCCATCCATCGTCAAAAAAATAATCTACAAAATTTTAAAATTTGTATGGAATTTAGTACAAATCTGAAAACACAATGTAGATTATTGTTCAGGAAATTGAGGGAGTACGTTATATCGGAGAATATAATAATTAAAAATGTTCCTTTTGGTAGAGGGAGTCATTGAACTAGAATTGTTTGAAACTGTAAGGGGACTGAAATCATTACATAACGATTCAATGAGAAATTCCCATCTAATTTGTACGTAGTTTAACAAAGAAAACCAGTTAAAAAAAAAGGTACCCATTTGTTGCTTTTCATACTATCATTTAGATTTGTGCAGCCCGAATGAATTATATATCTAAGTAACAAACTTAGTAAAGGAGAGATTATATTACATCACTTTAAAAGAAACTGAGATGTGATTACTGCAAAGCGATAGTTTGTAGTTTGAATTATCAAAAAAGATAAACAAATCGTGCACTTCTCTTCCAAGTTTAACGTGTTCCTACCAATCTCGGAAGGAGACTGTCAATAATGATCCACACGTCGGAAAATCACTAGAGAAGCAATAAAGTGAAATTCGAGAACTGCTCCCTTCACAATGACAATTATGCAAGATTCATGTGATGAGCCTCAATGATTTATGAAGCTGAAGACGAAGGGGATGGATGGAAAGAAATGGCCCAGTTGCGGAGAAAGTTGTAGATCGACGCGGAAACATTTTGCTATGTAGACGGACTGAAGTCCATACTCATAAAGAAGCACAAAGATGAGAGGTATTACTTTTACGAATTCTAGATGAAAAAAGTGTTTAAACTATGTTAATTTCATAGTGTTCTGTGGATATTCAAGAATAGACGATACATTTCGTGTCAATGTATTAAGTATCATTGTCCCGTTACTCAAAATACAAATTATATTCATAGTGTAACAAGGTAAACATTTAAAAACAATGTGTCATGCACAATAATGGCCAACACAAGCGACGATTGAAAGTCTTTTTGACCAGCTGGTGCTTTTTCCGCAACTACATTTATGGATCAATGATAGAGCGGCAATCATTAGTTTTCTGACCATTTGAAGAAGCTGCTTCAGTTCATGGATTGATTCATCACAAAATTTTTATTACTATGCTAAAGGCTATCTTACGTGCCACTTCATCTTGTCGTTTTTGTTTTTCCAAAGCAAAAAAGTGTACCCAAATCCAAATCGTTATCATTTCTGTTGATTCCCTATCAGGTAAACTTCTTTTCATCAGAAATGTATTGATAATGCTGCTAGGACCTCACTCTGCACTGTCTCCTTGTGTAGCTTGCTTTTCTTTTTTCAAGGAGAAAGCGTAGAGGTTTTGGTTCTTTGTCATTGTTGATAGTCAAACTCGTGATTTTCTGCTGATTTCAACGTCTGGATCATTGTTAGGTCAGTGTTCCACAGAAAATACCCCTAAATTTTAAGAGCAAATCTTTCACAAGGTGGAGAAAAGAAAGTAGGCCCAAGAAAACAAAAATGTGGAAATGGACAAACCTATAGAAATGCTACAATTTCATACTCCCTCCACTTTGAAATATACGTGGTTTTAGAACTTGATGAATTTTTTTAAATATATGTCGTTTTCATATATCGAAACATATTTAATCACTTTTTATCAATATTATCCTTGCATTGGAAATTAAACAGTATTTATAATAAACTTCTATTTGTTTGTGATGAATTATATAGACAATAAATAAAGGTCTTTTTGTATTTTAACTACATTAATTAATGTTTTCTTGATTTTGATGATTTCTCTAGAAAGACATATAAAAAAAATGGAAGGAATACTAGCTATGATGTGTGATAGAAGTTGTCCCTGAAAATAATGTACAATCTTCTTAAAGCATTGTATGAATGCAAAATCCTCCAATTACCTCCAATTGTATAATTAGGAAAAATGAAATTAGGAAAGTGCTAATATATTCTACTGGATACACTACAAGCAAATTTACACTTCAAATCGGGAAACCCTTTAGACTGCACAAACAAAGTCACCACTGGCTCCAAGATCTTCCTCTAAATCAGCATCATCCAAATCATCAAGATCCATGCTGGCCACGGAAAGCAGCCCAGTTTTTTCGACATCTATTTTTTTTGCCTCTTGTATTATTGCCAATGCTTCATCCATGCTTTGGGATGGGTCATTTACGTCATTGGTTTGCAAGCTTCCCCCTTCTATTAGTTCCACTGGCAAGTTTTTCAAGTACCAAGGATGCTTCCTGATTTCTGAAATGCTGATTCTCTGGAAGGAAAGAGGAACAGCGTTATTGGATTCTGCTGATGAAATTGTTCACCAAGAAGAATGTACTGACGTGACAAATATAGACAAACAGCACTAATGGACAACCATAGTCAAGTTGAGGAACCAGGTTCTTGATTTTCATCAGAAAAGGGGGACGAGGAACCAAGTGTAAGGAATAATGTGTTAGGTGCAACCTCAATATTAAAAAGTAATCCACATGAAGGTGTCTAATATTTATACCGAGTTCCAGTTCATTACAATGGTTCTGCCTGCTGTGACTTCTTATTTTTTACAAAGATCAGAAACTATAGTTTACCTTTTCAGGGTTAGCCACAAAAATCCGAGATAAGAGATGCCGACATTCAATAGAAATCCGGACTTGCTCAGGAATGGAGTAATTAACAGTGAGTATTCTCTGTCAGAAAACGTATATTCCATCAGATCTTAAGTGAAAAGATACTTTAGATATTTATGATTCACATAAACAATCAGTATCGGCAGAGCTGATGTTTACTCACCCCAATGCTCTTCCTAAAATTTTTGGGATCGCTAGGGTCTTCAAAAGGATAAGCTCCCACAAGCATCACGTATAATGTGACGCCACATGACCAGACATCTGCAAGCTACAGTTCGCAGCATCAAAATTAATAGAGCACAAAGGAATGCATATTAGTTATGGAAAGAAAAGAAGATGAAAAATGATAAATTATTAAAAAGCACCTTGCCATCATATTCTTTCTTAGAAAGCACCTCAGGGGCAATATAAGCTGGAGTTCCTACGGTTGATTTAGGCTGAGAATGAAACACCGCTGACTGAAAACAAGTGAACAACCAAACGAACTCAGATAAATTGTAAGCACTAGGAAACTAACAGATTCCACCAATAGAGATGCTAATGTACCTTGGAGTAACCAAAATCACATATTTTAACGCGGGGTGCAACACTTCCATCTAATAGTGTATTCTCCAACTTAAGATCTCTGTGACAAATTTGCTTCAAACAGAATGACAAGATTATGTCAGATGATAGAGCTATTCCTTTCTGATTTCAACAAGATAGTGCAAATAAAAGTTAATACCATTGAATGACAGTAGCTGACACCTGAAATCAGTTGTTGAAAGAAAAACCTCGCCTGCAAAGAGGGGAAAAAAGGGTTAAAAATCGAGCTTTCTTAACAATTTCTGGATGTAGTGTGAAATTTCCTAAATTCCTTGACACTTGCATAATTCACGAGCATACCCTAAGAACCTGTGCCTTAAAACACTCCTCACATGATAGCAATGTGGAACACATCAATCTGAAGCCAAACACGAGACATACTAAGCCTTTGTTCCATAGTGGTTCAGTTTAAGGGACCATGCCTCGCCATGTAGTCTATTGGAACGCATTTTCATATAGAATTAGGCATATCATCTTTCAATATCTTCTTTCCAATTCTCTAGAGTACTCCCTGCCCCTTCTGACTTAAGTTATTTTTTCAACAAGTTCCCAAAATAAAACCACCTTAAATTCAATGGATCCATTACATACTCTACTAGTCTAGTGTCTCTGAACAAATCATTATGGTATTATGGTAGTTCTAACTAACCAGCGTCGCTTTACGATCAGCAAATATTAAGGACAGGAATGGACACTTTTCAAAACTAAAATGGTTGCTGACTCCCTTGATCTAAATAGGCATCTTAGACCTCATCAAACAATGCCAATAAAGGGACAGAGTTGTAAGAAATCATATGCCTAGACTAAACACTGCAATCAGACTTGAGGACTTAAGTAACTCTACTGTCCATTCATTCTCTTCATAATAAACACTGAGTTTCGTAGTTCCATAACAGAAGAACATCATAATCCATCACATCTGAACTCAAAGGCTATGCAAATAGTGATTATTGAGTAACTGTATATAAAACTTGCCGTCAAAGAACATAATACCTCATCTTCATTGAATCTGCCAGCTTTACATATCCTCTCAAAGAGTTCCCCTCCTGCTGCATACTCCATCACTATACCTAGATGTGTCGGTGTCAGCAATACCTGAAAGATAATAGAATGAAATGCAGAGCCAAACACAAAAGAACAAATTTTGCAAGGAATGTGGCAGTGGGGACACATAGGTACTTGGAAAATGGTCAAACTATCTAGGCCTCTTATTGTGATTGTGCTTTAGTAAACAAGGTGACGAATAACTCCAGCCTGCTAAGCCGGGCAAACTCTCTGTACTCAATTTTCTAAACTTGTCACTACATAGTTGCTCGGGGAATGAAAACAAGAAACAGCAGCAATGCTGATTTTTTGATCATCATGAACAATTTGTTGATCACACATTTTTAGTTCACTTAATAATACTAAATGAGATGGAACTATCATCTGTTTTACCAAATGCCGTCATTGGAATGCCAGGGATTTTTGCCTTTTCCCTTTCAAGGAATTCAGGCAATGACCATACACTTAAGAGCAAGCAAAAATATACACAAAAGCGACATTCATGACTTGCTGTAGGCTACAAAAATTCCAACGAACACAGAGTATTTGCATCGTTAACATACTAGTTATAAGTGTCAGCAATCATTTAATATCACTGCAGTAAACAATTTCAGAATTTAATAACAGAATTCCCCGTCATAAGTTGTTCTTTTATCGAGTAGGAATGAACAGCACCAGAAGACGCGCCAAACATACAAGATCGTACTATTTAACAATGGCCGCAGACTAACAAACAAGATCAATATTTTGAAAACGAACTAATCAAAAAATGTCATTGCAGATAATCCCAGGAAAGTTGCAGCAATTCCTAAAAAAGGATAAAACCCAATTTCCAATTTCCAGCAACCGACTTAAAAATAGTACATTTCCGACACTAGAAGAAGCTTGGAAGAAAGAAATACCTCTTTAAAACGGATAATGTTGGGATGCTTTAATGATCTATGGTTCATGATTTCCCTTTGCACGTGCTCATCAATCTACCGACAACAAACAGGCAAAAAAAAAAAAAAAGGATTATTCCACTTCGCGATCAAATTAAGCAGGAAATCCCAAATTGAAAAACAGAGTGAAGAGAAACAGGGGAGAGGAGGAGAACCTTTTGCCCTCTTTCAATGAATTTAACAGCAAACAGCTCTTTAGTCAATCTATCCCTCACAAGCTTAGCAACACCAAAATTCCCAGAACCTATGTCTTTCACAATCTCGTACCGCTCCATCCTAATCAAAACTAAAAGAAGAATCTGTCAGTTTTCAAGAACCCTCTTTTACTTTCCCCTGAATACTACAGATACTGTTTCCTTAAAACTTGATGGTTTCACACACACACACACACACACACACACAAAAGATCGCAAAAAAGATTCAACTAAAACCCCCAAATGGGATGGTTGTGAGTTGTTGATGTTGGTGGTGGTGGGACTAAAGCGATGGAATGATGAGAATATATCTTTAAATAAATTAATCAAAACTGCTAAATTTAGAGATTGCTTTTTGAGGGTTCTCCCCTGGTGGCGTGGAGTGCTGTCGAGAGTTCATAAGTTGCTTTCTGATTTGTTAAATCGAAGTGTACTACACTCTAAAAAAATGGAAACCTGACGGATGAAGCGTGTTTGTTTTTTCCATAAATTTTGACCGCCGTTGATTAAAAAAAAAAAAAAAAAAAGCTTCCATCCTGTTCCTTTCTTGGAATGGAGAAGAAAGATTTTGAAGGGGGATAAAATTGGTAGATAGCAGTAGATAATTCAGACACGTAATACAGGACATATCTGTAAGTAGTAGTTTTTTAAGGTTAAAGTACATAAAACAAGCAGTAAGTAGTACTCATTTCATACAGGCTCATAGTAGAGGAGAAGATCCCCTGTTGTCAAAATCGAGGTGTCGATGTGTCAGTGGAAAAGAGCTACACATTCACTATCTGACCAGGTCTGCCTTTCATTTTCATTCTCCAGCTAACACTCACTTGAAAAAAACATTAGTCAATGAACCGTGTTTTAGTTTTGATTTTAATTTTTAAGTTTTGTCTTCTGAAAAAAAGAATGATAGAGAATTACCTACGATTTAAATGAAGGTTTATATCAAAATTGATGTTTTCGTATGCCATTTGATAGATTACATTTTAAACCCAATCCAAAAAATTATTATCTAATTTCAATTTTTAATTTTAGTTCAATTTGTAATATAAATGAAATTCAAACTGGATAATAATTTCGGGACGGAAAGAATATATATGTGAAAGGCAATTTTGTTATTCAAACGTAATAATTGGGTCAAGTTTTCTTCTTGGAACCGAAATTTGTATGTGTACGTGCATTTTGCTTTTAGGATAAGATTAAAGATAACATTATGATTAGTATCAGATACTAGCATGTTATATTTCATCACTTTTTCTCAATTTTCAAACTATTGTTTACTGAATATATGTTTTGATATTTTAATACAAAAAATTACACGTAATGTGTTCAAACAGAGCCTAGTGAGTGATAATATGTTATTTTATATTTAATAATAAATTTTTCATCCAATCATACTTTTTTATATTCTCAATATATCATTTTTTTAATACAAAGGAAGCCGGCAGCTTAGTTACAAAACATCCCTTTGTTTGGCGAGATGAGGAGGGCTATCTAGTACAAGACTATATAATTGAAGGTGATGGAGTCGACAAAATGTGAAGTTTGAAGGGACAAGATAAAATAAATTTTGCTAACGCATCCGCCACGGCATTATTGGGACGTCGGGTATGCCCTATCGAAATTTTTCAATCAAGAGCAAGCATACTTTTAATTCTAAAGAATACACAATTGTTTACAAAAGGTGACTCATTTAACAAAAATCTTACCATCTCTAAAGAGTTTATTTCAAATAAACATATCATTTTACATTCAGAATATAAACACATGAATTCACACGCTGATCCAATGATACCCTAAAGCGTTTCAAGTAGCAGAACAAAGCCCAAACTGACAATGGTTTTTTTCAATTGGTGGTTGAAAAATGGCACTACTCAACTATATTTAAAGGCTCATTACCCTGTCAGTAACCCAAAGAGATTATGGGCCGTCAGCCCTGTAAATTGATCTGCTAACTCTACAAAACATTTCAAGTCCCAAGAAACAATCTTGTAGCTCCTCTGACCGGTCTAGGGCGGCACATAAATCCGTCAAAACCAATCACATGCCAAATCAGGCCCGTTCCTAAAAGAACCTTGTGGGGCAGGAAGTCATGGCTGCCAATACCATAAAACTGGGACCCACTAGCCAGCCTTATTGTCCAATCTCCAGCTAGATTCCTCACTGTCACTTATTAGTCACATCCCCCAATCCAACGGCTCTCCTTCTTCCTTCAAACCCCCCCTTTGACCGCGCCAAAGCATTTTCACACCGAAAGTTGTACGCCTAAAGCCGAATTTTTTAAATATTTTCCGTCCAAATCAATTTGAAATTTTCAAAAAAAATTAAAAAATAAAATAAAAATACACAATTTAATAATTTTCTGTTATTTTTTCTCCTCAAACTTCTCCCATCCTCTCAATTTCTCCATTCAAAAACAGCCCCATTTGCCCATTTCTTTTTCCCTCATTCATTCGAAAAGAAGAAGAAAAAAAAAACTCAGATCTCAAATCTCCTGCGAATATCATTTAAGCTTTGAGAATCATGGCTGCTGTGACGGCGCGTGAGGAGAACGTGTACATGGCGAAGCTCGCCGAGCAAGCCGAACGCTACGAGGAAATGGTTGAATTCATGGAGAAGGTCTCGAATTCGTTGGGCGAAGGCGAGGAACTGACCGTGGAGGAAAGGAATCTTCTGAGCGTGGCTTACAAGAACGTGATTGGAGCGAGGAGGGCTTCGTGGAGGATTATTTCGTCCATTGAGCAGAAGGAAGAGTCGAGAGGCAATGAGGACCATGTTTCCACTATCAAGGAGTATAGATCTAAGATTGAGAACGAGTTGTCTTCGATCTGTGATGGGATCTTGAAGCTTCTTGATAACAAGCTCATCCCATCTGCCGGTGCTGGTGACTCCAAGGTCTTTTACTTGAAGATGAAGGGAGACTACCACAGGTATCTTGCTGAGTTCAAGACTGGTTCTGAAAGGAAAGAGGCTGCTGAGAGCACCCTCACTGCCTACAAGGCTGCTCAGGTTCGTCCTAATCTCTGTTCTGTTTTATTTACCTGTAAGTTTATTTCAAAGATCTGATTATTTTTATTGTTTTTTGGGTTATGGGGATATATGTGTGTAATTATTGGAGATCAAGGATGAAAATGTCATGAGTTTAGTCTAAATTCCTTTTTGCATTAGTGGGTTTTTTGCATTGTCCAAGTCTGTTTGCCATCTCAACTAGGAAGCAATTGTGCGTTTATTAGTTTTTACTTACTCCCTCTGTCCCAAAATTATTGTCCAGTTTGATATTTCACTTTTAGTACAATTTCAATTAGAAATAAAAACCCAAACTGGACAATAATTATGGGACGGTGAGAGTATAATTTAAAGGTTAATGAAGAAATGTGTGAGGAAACGTTTAAGCTTTGCTAAGATAGCGTATGGATTGACGTGGTGCTCTTAGACTGACCTCATTGAGCCTCAATTATGTTCAAAAGCTCATTTAATTTGTTAAACGGATATCCTTGTGTTCTTTGAAGGTTGAAAGTTTGCCTAAAAGCCTTTTGGCCATGCATGCACCAATTCTATTGCTGCCCAACTTTATAGGCTTTCCAATATTTTTAGGGACACTTTGCCAGGATCTTGTGATTATAAATAAACAACACCTGCTTTAGTATTTTCAAACCAAACTTTTAACTGCTGCTGCATTTTTCATTCGTAAATTTTTTGTGTTCCTGTTCTTATTGGCATCTTACTGATTATTATGCTTGCACTTGGTGGGATCTTGTTTCACCTATTCAAGATATAGATTTTCTGTGAACTTGCCTGATGAGTAGGAAATTTCCTTGTGATTACTGTTGAGCTTCTTGTTCTTGAGCAGCATCTTTTCTGAAGCTTCTATTTGAGCCTGATGTGTTTTACGTTTTTATTTGTGTAGTATTAAATGCTCATCCAAATCGTTATTCTGTTTTGCAGGATATAGCAAACACTGAACTTGCCCCAACTCATCCAATCCGGCTCGGACTGGCCCTTAACTTCTCTGTCTTCTACTATGAAATTTTGAATTCTCCTGACCGTGCTTGTAATCTCGCCAAGCAGGTAAGATTTTTTTGGTGGCAAAATATTTATTTCCTGTTTGCATTTGACCTTATTGGCCACGATTATTGATTCGACTCTTTTTCTCCTCTTCTCAATGACAGGCTTTTGATGAGGCCATTGCTGAACTTGACACCCTTGGGGAGGAGTCATACAAAGACAGCACTCTGATTATGCAACTCTTGCGTGACAATCTCACTCTCTGGACTTCCGACATGCAGGTAATGTATTTGCTTAGAGTACTCTGTATTCCTGCCCTTTCAAATGCTTCATTGTACATGGTGTGCCCAAACTGGGATGAAAGTTGAAACTAATAAATGATCCGATTGTGAATGCAGGATGATGGAGCTGATGAGATCAAGGAAGCTCCCAAGGGTGGTGACGAACAACAGTGAGGGCAACATGCCTGGAGTTGTGGTTGAGTTCTCCTCTGATGGTTTTTGATCGGAGAAGTCAAACCTGTTCTCATTTCCTGCTTTCATATTGGCTTTTCTTCTAGGTGTTATCTCTGTTATTGGAGCTACTTTAAATTATCAATATCATCCTTCTAGTCTCAATTTAATATTTGATGGTCCCTATGGTTTGGTAAATGCCTAAATGGGATATGTTCATCTTCTAACAAGGGTGAATTTCCCTGTCCTTGTTCGGCTTCCATATAGGTCACTAAAAGGACCAAAAGCGTAACTAACAATTAGAAATGTCTTGTCCTGTGGCTTTGATTGTGGAAAATGAAACTTTGGTCTCATCTCTTAACTTTAGGGCTTTAGGCTCAATATCATCAACGGAACCTGAAAATGCTCTAAGTTGAAACAACTCGTTTAAAATTGTTAAAGCTGTGAACATGTCATCGAGACACCCTTTGCTCTACTGTTCGCAAGCCAATTTTAACAAATGTTCCGGTGAAGTAGCATATATGTAAAATCATATGCGTTCTATCATTGATAAAAAAAAAACTCAGATTAGTGCATCAAAATGTTCATAGTTTTTGCTGGACTGCTGGAGCAAATAGTAATTCTTAGGGGTGTTCTTCAGAAAATGGTCAGAAGGAAAGCATTTGCTACCCAGTCATGCTCCTATGTTAGAGGTCTGTAGCAGTGGCAACTGGATACTAGGGAAAAAAAAACACCATCAATCAAGACCAAATAATAGAACCTCAACCAAATGCCCCGATTGACAAATGACTAGTCATGAGACTCAAAACCCAGGATTTGTAGCTTAAAAGAAAAATCGCCGTGTCCACCTAAAACTAAGACACCATACCAGGTGACGATAGACAAAGGGCATGGCTGTGAAGACTGGCACTTTTGAGACGAAAGTCAAGTATAGCACTGATAGAATAATAGAGAAACTACCAGGGAACCTTCTCCTAGCTTTGATAGTTTTCCCAAAGGGAAAAACACATGGTCATGGCATATTTAATTCATCAAGAAGAAACTGAAGGCACGCAAACTCATTTGTTTAAACCCTCCCCTATATATTATGAATGCTATGGTCTTTGATAGGAGAAGCTTCACATTCAGAGGGCTTAGATGATGACTCCACCAAGCAGCACATGAATGAACTCTTCCCAAGCTACGGCAACACAAAAGTCAGCTTCAAACAAATTAAACACTAACAAAACGATTTTCCAAGTTGGTCCATGCATAATAATAATGATACAACACCTATTTCTGGTTTAATGAGTCTTGTTCAAAGGCACAGAATCAGTCTGCAGTTTGCTACACCTATTTCTTCCAGTATTACTAATATTTTTCACAGAGTCTGCAGTTTTTGCAAGAAGTGGGGACAGCTTTGCTGCTGGTTTTTCAGAGGGATTGTAATTTAGGTTAAAAAAGCAGTAATTTGAACACACAACAAAAAGTATCCCCTCTGCTGCACATTAGAAGAAATTCATCATTCCCGACAAAGGAAAAATGAACCAACCAGAAAAAGAAACTCACACTACAACCAATCAGCACAAAACAGTAGAAATCAATCATCCAACTGAAGGGGAAATCAGAAATGCATTCGCAATCCACCAATCAACAGAGGAAGATTGAATAAAAGAAAACTACAAATGAACTTGTCCATTTCAATATTTCATCATGAACAAAGTGCTGTTGAAAAAGTGGACTGAAACATGAATGATAATCAGAAGCAATAATCACTATAAAATGAGAAATAAAGGTACAATCTTTCAAGTATTTTTCTTCACTACCTTCATCAATTAAATTGAACATCCATGTACAAGGCAAAACCTAAAATATAACCACTGTCAACTAGCATCTTCCTCACTCCTGGTGTGTACATTTCCAAATTACAGAGTTTGAACTTGTGACCCTATTCATCTTTCTATGGAAATTATAAAAAAAAAAAAAATGAGCAAAAGAAAATCCAAATTTCCATCCCAAAATAAGGAAAAATAATATTTCCTAACAAAAGATCTTACCTTCGACTAACATTTTTTTTTTTTTAAATGCCAATTTCCTTCACATACCCTTCCATCTCGGACTTGTAACCGGGAGAGTTGGGGACAACGGCAGCTGCTGGAGACCTAGCTGGGACGGAGAAAACAGCATGCCCGGCGGCATCATGCCGTACGGCGACCTAGGTGACGGAATACAACCAAAAGCCAACGGCGACGTAGGCAGGGGAGGGAACTGAGGCGCTGCCTGAGGCGGCGGAGGAGGAATGTTCTGCTGCTGCTGGTGGTGGAGCGGCGGTAGCTGAGGGGGCGGAAGGTTGTTCCACCTGGGAGAAGCAGCGGAGGCGGAAGAGCTCTGGAGAAAACGCATGTAAGCAGAAATCGGCGATTCAGCAGCCGCATGCACCGCCGGGAAAGGAGGAAGTGGAGACAGGGGTTGCCGTTGACCGGCGAAGAACCCGGCGGTCGGAACGCTACCTCCCGGGTGGTTGCTTATTTGAGGAAGCTGAGGCGGACGGTTGTTAATCTGGGCCAGCGGCGGAGGACGGATCCGCTGCAGCCTTGAGCTCGGAGGCTTAGGTGGCTGAATAGGAGGCGGAGTAGAAAACCTCTCATGCGCCGGCGAGCCCGTTAGTCTCTGGACCACATCCCGGAAGTCATTCTTGTTGATATTATAAACCGGAGGCTGATGCTGCTGCGGCGGCGCCTGTTGTTGCTGCTGCTGCTGCTGTGACGGAGCCTGGGCCGGAGCCGGCTGTGTTTGGGGAAGACCCACTTGGGTTTGCGACGGTTGCCCGAGATTCTCGATATTCTGATTTAAGTTCCGATCAAAGCTAGGCGACCGCCTGATGGTGGGCTTAGAAATCTTGTGGGATATTTTATTCAGATGTTTTAGATACACATCTCTGTCTCTATTGCTGCCGCTGCCGGTATTGGCGGTGGTGGTGGCGGTGGCGGTGGCGGTGGAGATACTTGCCGTACCACCAGTACTAGTAGAAGAGGTAACTGTAGAGCCACCGCCTCCTGAAGAATGACAAGTATTTTCCATAAACACACAGTCACACAGTGGAACAGAGCAGAGAGTCTGTTCGTCCCTTCAAATTTCCAACTTCCAAACTGTGAACCCAGTCAGTCAAACAGAGAGCCCTTTTACCATTTTTCTCTCTCTCTATATGTATTTAATTCTGCTTTCCTTTCCCTATCTCTCTCTAGAATTTTCTTCGTGGCTATATATTTTTGTACTTATTATTGATGTGTGTTCTTCTTATCTCAACATCCTTTGTTTTGTGGACGTGGGCCCACTGACTATACTTTTGTTGCTTAAGACAAACGTAAATAATACTCAGTGGTAGTACTACTTAACTATGATAATGAAATGCTGATTTATTTACTAATGATAATGCTCTTCCATTGTTTACTAAATTTTATTATGGTATTATTATAGGATTGATGAAACCGACATGGGAATGTGTTAATGAATCTTCCAATCTACAAAAACATACAAATTACAATGAAATTTACTTGATTGTGAAGACGAAATGCAAGTAACAATATTTTCGTGACTAACTGTTAGAAAAAAAAATTTAACTACAAAAATTAAATATTACATATCGAAATTAGTTATTTACCAGATCGGATTGACATTTAGATTTTTTTTCAATGATTTTATGTGCATAAGATGTATGACCGTTGTTTGTCAAAAAAGAGTGATAGACTAAAGCAACAAATTTTCCAATGTGTAACTCCATCTTGTGGCTGGTTGATTAGATATTATAATTAGTCCAAAAAGATTTATCTCTTATGTTTTCTCATTTTTAAATGGTTGTTATCGCACAAATACGAAAGATACCACCCAGCTCATTTGGAAATTGTGTATTCCCTATATGCTCTAGTACTTTGATTTTAGTCCTCATAATCTGTTTCTACTAACGGTAAAACTACGATGACGGATTTTTTCTTTTCTGTTAGTAATAGTTTTTGTTGGGTCATTCTCACTTAGTAGGACAAATGCTGCTAATTATAGAATTTTCGAAGTACACTTTTACTGTTTTTATCCAACTAAATGACCTTTTTCCTCTCATTCCAACTCAATCAAAATTATGTAGTGAGATACTATATCCAATTATTAGTCTGCTCATTATGCTTAATGCAACTTGAGGTGACAACATATGCTTTGATGCTGGTATTACTTTACCCTCAACAAAAACTAGAAAGTATTTCCTCCGGTCCTTATTATAAGACATTTTGATTTCGTCCTAGGTTTTAACTTAAAATGTCTTTTTTATTATAAAAAAAACTTTAAAAATATATTTTTCACATTCGTTGTGCTCTCCTAATTATTATATAATATTTTTAAGGTTTTTATTTTAATTAAAAAAATCACCAAGGACAAACTCAAAATGTCTTATAATAAGGACCGGAGGGAGTATTGTTCGGTCTTTTATTTAAATATTAAACTCTTTAATTCAACGAATTAATTTTCATGTCATCTTCAACAAACAAGATAATCAATTATGGGGAAAAATAATTTTTTTTTTCTTTTTTTTTTTCTATTTCAAGGGTGCCGAGCTTTGTAAGTGGGGACCAAGCTCATATTAACGAAAACGAGAAAATGGTGGAAATAATAACGTTGGAGATAACAATTAGGTTGTAAACGAGATTTGCGTTCTTGTGTGTTGTTGGCTGTATTAGGACTACGACAAAATGAATCGACAACATCAACGTTTTGTTCGCGGACTAAGTATTTACGTAACATGTGACTTATGAAGCAAAAAAAAGATGCTTACTTGATTACGAATCAAAGAATGTAATTATGGCGTTAGTTCATCACAAATTAAAACCCACGAAAATTATTGGTGGCTTCAACTTTTCTTTTTAACATTTTTTCTTCGGGTTGGCTTTAGTCACGAAGTAGTCGTTTTCATGATATCGATCAGCAGGGTTAAAATACGTTTCGGCTTCACCTTTTCCCTTTTCCAACGTAATTGCTTGTCATGGTCAAGTGTTTTATCCATGCAAATAAAATTACCGATATTGAGAAATACTAGCGGCTCTTTTGAGATGTGCAATTTTTTCTTTTCTTAAAAAGCAAAAGGAAGATAAATGGATTATTGCTTTTCATCAAAAGGAAGTCCTTTAACCAAAGTAGTTTTGGTAGAGTGGAAGAGATTCCTCCACCCTTAATCATAGGCGGATGGTTCGAATCTCGTCATAAGCATGAAATAACCTTAAATACTTTGGTCAGTTGTCCCACCGATCAAGGTGTCTACAATTCAGCGAGCGAGATTAGTCACTCTTATTGACGGCCTTGCAAATATGAAAAAATAAATAAAAATAAAAATTTGTTCTTCATCCTTTAATATGAAATTGAAAAAAAAAAAATCTCGTGAAGGGAATTATACAGATAATGATTTCTATACAAGTGGAATCTACTATTCAATGAGTTGATTTATCGGTAAAACCATTTAATCACTATATTACGTCTTTTCCCATCGATTGAACTAACATTGAGAAATCTAAACAATGTATTTAAGCAATACTTAGTCATTAAAAATTCACAATAATCGTGGCTCCATAAAAAAAAATTAAAATGTCTTGTTCAAAGGGGCCATATCCATATGCATTCCTATAACAAGAGACAACAAATTACAATATTAATTACTACCTCTGTCCCAAGAAAACAGTCCACATTGAGTTTTCAAATTTATATTAAAAATAATACAAAACTCAAAACTCAATGTGAACCATTTTTATGGGACACAAGGAGTATGTATTAAATATCATTTCCAACCGTCCCTCTCTGAGTTAACCGAAGGAAATTCGAAGTCATAAAGTTGATCGTACTTGATATATTATCAGAAGATGCGGTAAGAGGAGTATGAGAATGACTCAATTCCTAGTTCATAGTTTCTGATGTCTATGGTTGACAGGCTTGTTATTTTCTAGTTGTATTGATTATCAGAATTTGTATCAGCTCGTTTAAGAAAGAAATAACAAAAGCAATTCAGTTCAGTACTAATTGTAACACCTTGTTTTTCTGATTTTCTCTTTCTGCATGTTAATTCATAGCCTTCTCCATAGGTTCTGCAAGTTGGATCTAGAAGGTCAACTGTTTTAACAGAAGACAGAGAGAATTGAATAGGGAGAAAAGTGCTTTAGAGTAAACTCTGTCCAATATAGATCTTGTAGGATTTTAGGAATCTGACTGAATGAATATTCTCAATAAGGTTATGATTATTCATGTGCATTTTCATTTCCCCTAAACTATGGAGTTTAGAGTCAACATTATTACATAAATATTTTCTCTGTTTTAAAATTATTGTCTAATTTGAGATTTCAATTTTAGTACTATTTGAACTAAAAATATAAATTTATATTGGACAATAATTTCGGACCGAAAGATGTACGAGTTATTGACATATTCACGTTTTCAAGATTATGATAACTCGTTACTCATTTTGGCCTTCTTTTTTAATGAAACGAGTATGTATACGTGAAGTTTATTTTCGGATGGAAAAAAAATACAATGTTATAACAACATGAGTATATAATATTTGTTTGAGAAAGTTCAAGGCAAATTACCATACCGACAGGAATTTTAAAATGGTGTTTAAATTTCAAACCAATCATAAAGATGCTAGTATAAAAATGGAGTATATAAACTTAAGGTACGTCTTGATCCGCCCATGTGAATTGGTTGATGATCCGTTCAAGTTTCAACATTGACTTATTATTTTCAGGGAACTAAAAAACCATTGACTTATTGCTAATCATTTCTCAGTTATCATTTGGAGGAGGAATAAGGATACATGACAATTAATTAAAAGCACAAGGATCTCGAAAAATGAAGAAAGAGTATTGTATGTATGTTAGCATTCATTCAAAGTTTTAACAATAGCTGGCTTTAATTAAATAACTTCCTTTTGTTTTTAACCAAAAATTTTAGTTTTAAATTTACCGCTGCACAATTTACTGATTTACAGAGTTACCTAGCAGCTTTTGAACCTGAATACTGCGATACCATTGGCAAAAGAAGCACTAGTTTAGACTTTAGACAAAAAAAAAAAACATAAACTCCCTCCGTACTAAAATTATTGTCTAGTTTGGAATTTTATTTTTAATACAATTTGAATTAAAAATGAGAATGACTGGATAATCATTTTGCGGCGGAAAAAATGCTATTCCCTTCATTCCAAAATGATTACTGGGTTTTAATTTGGTACAAACAGAGAGAGTATTATTTTTCATTATTATAAATGTAGTTCTGAACTGTATTAATGTGATTGATATTAAGTCACGAAACAACTGATAATACATAAAACTTCGCAGAATGATTTGCGTCTTTTACATGATTTGCTTCTGATCATGTGCTCTGGAACAGCCAGGAATGAAGCAGAAACCCACTAATTTGGGCTAAAAGGATCCAACTTGCCTGAATTGGATAACTATTCCCGAGCTAATGTATTGAGCATGAAACAGCATCAGGTACTTTATAAGCCCAAAAAAAGGGATTTCGGCATTTCGCCTTTTTCGTTCGGTTTCAAGCATTTTGTGGAGCATTTCAAAGACTTAAAAAAATAAAAAAATAAAAAAATAAAAAACTCCCTCTCCCCAAAATAATTCGTTTTCTTGAATTAAAATATGTAATAAATAAATTATTGTTGTAAATAAGTGCATAACCAAAAGAGGTTAAAACCTATAAAATAAATGCAAGGAAAATTCAAGGATGTTGTCTATCAAATTTTCCCTATAAATATGGGTGCTCATGTAATGAAAATCTGGCACCAAAAATCTATCTTCATTCACCTCTCTAATTTCTACTTCTTCATGTTTCTTAAGTCCACAAAATATATTTCTTCCTTCATTCATAAATCTTATAGGTTATCTCTTAATATTTAGACTATTAGAAAGTTATTATATTAAAATCTCTAGTAGAGAAGTTATAAAGAAATCATCTCCAATTAAATTGTTAGTATCTTTGCGTGGATCATTATATTTGGACTTTAGTTTTATAACAATTATTATTTTTTGGGGGTAAGAGGTGATAGTCTAAGGCTGGCAATCCGTGTCGGGTTGAACCCAAACCCGGAAAAAGTATAGCTAACCCAAACCCGACCTATTTAATTATACATGTCAGGATTCTCAACCCTAACCCGACATTCTAAAATCCAGGTTGACTCGGGTCGACCTGTTTAACCCGTAAAACAAAAACCAGAACATAAGATGAACAGAGAACTAAAATTTGCAGAGGGGAGTAAATAACAAAATTCAATCAATTTTCTTTGACGAGTAAGTTGAATTTGAATAAACCAAAAACACAGAAAGAGAAAATCCTAACTAACAACAATTCCCAACTCTTTTAAGCCAGTAAAAACACAATCTTTTATGCAGTGTTATTCTGCATCCTTGGATATGCAAGATTTCTTTGACAAAGAACAGAAGTAAATAAGGAGTATGAAGCATGGCAATTCGCAAACGCTTGGAGCTTCTAAAAGCAAAACGAAACTGCTACACCGGTGACGCTGTAATCGTCGGAGCGCAAGAACCGGGTGAAGACGCAATCTAAGGAGAAAATTCAAATCCGAATCTCACCGATTCCCATAAAACCCCAAGATCCCTCACCCTCCCTGCTACACACTTGAAATCCAAATGGAATCCCCTCACCGTAGCACTGCCATCCACTTCAACAACCCTACATCAACGGCTAAACCATTATATTGACTAACCCATTGCAAAGGCTACTCTTGAATGATCAAATCTGAAGAGAAGAAGAGAGATCTAACAAGAGTTGGAAGAATTTCTGATTTTTATATTTAATTTTACGGCTAACTAGCTATATTTTTGGTCGGAGACCGCTGCGAAGAAAAGAGGTAGTGAAATTGTCAAAGTGTTAGTGTTCATTGTAAAATACATAAATATGGGAGTGAAAATAGGGTTCTCATGCGGTGAAATTTCCAAATTACCTCTAGAAAGTACATAAACTACATATATACGAGTGACTTGGGTAACCCGACGGGTTGACCCAAATCCGACCTGTATAATAAACGGGTCGACCTAACCTGACTTGTTTATTATACGGGTCCAAATCCTCAACCCTAACCCGTTTATTTCATGTCAGGTTTGTGTCGAAATTTCGGATCGTGTAGGAGGGTGCCAACCCTAGGTGATAATACTTTTTGGAATTTTTTTTTTTAAAATAAAAATCGAGGAGCTTTTAAGTTTTACTCGTTAATTTGATAATATTTTACCATTATTGGTATGAAAAGAAATATTCATTTTATTTTTTGGAATTTAATTGTAACTACAAATCTTCTGTATAACCTTTTAGTTTGAATCACATGATGTTAATTTTTAATAAATTTTCAGTTCAATGATTTTAAGGAACATGCTAGGTGTTACAAGGATAAAGTTATCCTAAAACTTTTTTAAGTGTTTTTGGTACATGGTTGCACTTGTTTGGCTGGTTGGTTCAAGTCATGAATTGAGAATGACTGAAACCATAGAACCAAAGAGATTAGATTCAAGTTAGGTTTTAGTTTTTCATTAGTTACTAAAGTAATTTTATTTAGAGAGTAAGTAGTTATTTTACTAATTTGAAAATGTAACTAAGGCCTAGATGATTAGGGTTGTTAATCATATGCTTATAAATACTTGTAGACACGTATTTATAAGGCGAGGAGAGAAAGGCTAGAGTTTATGCCTTGAATTTTATAGAGTACAATTGCTGAAAATTGCGTAAGTGTAGGTGATTGACCCATGTTTGGGTGAAAAATCTCTCGTAAACGTTTTGTTGAGTTGAATAAAAGTTTGTGAGATTTGGGACTTTTTTTCCATTAAGGAAGTGCCTGGTTCGTTCTATGAATGATACTTTTCAATGGGTTTCACAGAATAAAGAATTTTAATGGGTGTCAATAACTCCGTTTGAGTTGCTCGGTTTATAAATGGGTTTGAATAAAAATTAAACAAAATAACATTTTTTTCCTTATCCCTAACCTTATCCATCTCTTCCACCGTCTCCTCTTTGGCGGTCAACTCTAAATCCGTTTATTCCATTTCTTTGCTGCCAGATAGTAATGGACCACCTATCATCTCCTCCTACATCCAACAACCAAATGCACCACCCAAAACTCTTGCATCAAATAAGGTATAGTATTTTTCATCCAATTCACAACTCAAAAAGAAATTAAAAAAATAATAAATTCATCTATTTTCCTAAGGACATGGTGTATCTACAGATTTCATTATCATGACAATCAAAATAATATCACGAAACTAGATTGAGGAATGATTGGATAGCGGTGACAGTGGTGGTGGGTGACGGCTGACAGTGCGTGGTGGTGGGTGACGGCAAATTTGTTTGCAGCAATTTTGAATTTTGTTGGTTGCAATTTTTTTCTCCTTGAAAATTGGGATTTGATGATTGCAACTTTTTGTAAGTCCATCAATTTGGTGTTAGAATTGAGGTGTACAAAAATGAAGGAGAAGAAGAGATGAGGAATAGAATATGATGTAGGAGAATAAGGGGCAGAGGAACTGGGTTCATGAAGAGAGGGGTAAGAGAAGAAATTTCATTTAAAACTATCAAACCCTCCAAATTAGTAAGGAATGGATTATTGAGAATGAAATCCAAAAAAGTTATTGTGCTGGAATCATTACTTTCTAACCAAGCAACATTATTTAGAATCGAAGGTATATCCTTGGATTGACACCCTCAATCCAAGCACCACCTAAATTCTTGTGTGTTTTAACTTTTGTTTTTCTCAATTTCTAAGCATACATTTTGTTGACTAAGTATCGAGTTGTTTTTCTGCTGTCTTAACGAATATTTAGTGAGGGCTGGTGGAATTTTATTAGGATATTTCACGAGATTAGATCTCCAAATTTATAGGTTAAACTTGGGGGTCTAACACTAGACAACATTCAATTTAGTCTTTTCGATTGAAAGATATATCTAGGAACATTAATGCTTTCGTAATATAATACTACCTTTTACCTTATTGAATTCGGTTTTTAAAAAAAAATTATTGACTCCTTTTAGTAAAATAGACTTTTTTTTTCTTCTTTTTTTTGGTGGGGAGCGAGCAGAAAAACAATGTTATATAACTTATAAATACCTCTTTTTGTCCAACGACATTTGTCATTTCAGTCTTGCTCACTGATTAAAGTGAGTAAACCAGATGTTGTAGAATTACATAATTTAGTATTTCAAAATACGTTACAATAGTTTAGGTAATTCTTAATAATCTACAGGTTTTTTTTTTTAAAGGCATTCATCTGTAATAGTATAGCAAGAACTTGGTCCGATGTTATCTTAAGGGAAACAGTAACAGGTAACAGTTAACATGATCAACATAATTCAAGTAACACAATTATTCAAATGATCTACTGGAAAAAAAATTATTAACACTACAATCAGATTGGAAGGCTAATGATTCTTAAAAAAAGAAAGAAGAAAAAAAATAGCACGATGCTAAATAATTTCCAACACAACAACCCAATATAACGCGACAAGATTAACCTTATTTACACTTCAACATTGTCGCGTATGTACTCAAATTCTTATTTACACTATACATTCTCGCGTTTGTACTCAAATTTAAATCTTATAAAAACACATGGAGTACATAAATTGATCCGATAACAATAACTGCGACCTTTTTGGGAAAAAAAAAATGCAGCCAAAATTGGAAAACGAGTGCCAGTGAAGTAAGCATTAGCCTCAATTTGGAACCCAAATTCCTGCCTATCACTAATCTCAAGCATAGAGACGACTAAATAAACGATCAAGGAAAGTCTGATACACAAATTCGTCATGGAGTTCTTCCAGAAAGGTCAGAGAACCGCGGGGCAACCAATCAAATGCAAAGGGGATTCATTGACAAATTACGATCATCCCTTTGCTTCGTTCATGATCAAAAACTTTTTTGATGTTCTTGATCAAGGGTTTCTTTTTTAAAAAAAAAAAAAAAAAATTTTAAAAAAAATCCTTCCTAATGAACCTCGTTTAAATGTGAAAAAAAAAACTATAAGTGCGTTATAGGAGATTCTCGTCTGAAAAAAATTATATTTTACAAAATATTTTGTTCAACAAAGTGTGATATCTCTAATTGCGATGATTAATCCTAATTTAATATTTTATTATTGTATTCAATAATTCAACACCCACTTTGTCTGACAAAACATGTTGACAGCTGCGAAAAAAAATAAACAATTCAGGTTGCCTAATTAATATTATATTTTTTGTCAAAAGGAAAAAAATTAATATTAGATTCTTATTTGTGATTCGAGTATCTATCTATCTACTATGGTTTTTGGGTCAGATTAGACGCACAAATCAAATGATGCTCCTTTGAAGAAAGTTAACATGTGGCTAAAACTTGAGAGACTAAAAAATTAATATGTTTTGAATATTCTCATTGAATTGATTCAAGGGATCACGAGTGTTACTACGGTTGATGTATAAACTACTTCTATTTAAACCAACTTGTATTTTTCTTGGAAGCTTTTCTTGCTTACGGCTTTTTTTAATGAAAGGGTTTATTTGAATTGAGTTTAAATTAATTTGAGTGCGATATGTATTCAATAGAATTTATAAATCATGAAAAAACACGACCTTCCTTTTGATTAGTCACGTGTAATATTTTCATCTCGAATTGTGATTTAATCATTTAATTATTGTGCAATTTGTTCATTTTTAACCAAGAGAAAGAAAAAAAAAATGTTAGAAACATAGTGTACATCAATCAAGCATTCTCTCTCCTTTTCTTTTTTTTTTTGCTACTATAACATAGTACGTTTCAAAACACATCACACTGGAATGGACCCAATTCAGTTGGAAGTTTTGTTTGATTGTTCATGTCGTTTTATCGATTGGATCTGAATTCGTATATCAATTTGTCAAGTTTGCGATACCGAAATGTAATAACATACTAAAAAAGTAAAAATACTTGCACAAAACTGGGAAAACAGCTCAGAACTAAGTTTGCGGGGCTAAAATTAATTTCGTCATGGAGCTCCAACGCCAAAGTCAGATAACTGCAGGTCAACCCATAAGATGCAAAGGTGATGATAATTGATCATAAATCCTTCAACCCTTTTGAATTAATGCATCAAAATCTCTATCAGTTCTTGTAAAATTTGTTTGGTTTCTTTTTTTCTTGCACGAATGATGGTGTTATTTTGAGCAGCTGCCATAGCTAGAAAAGCAGGGGAGCCACTAATCATTGAAGAGATTGAAGTAGCTCCTCCTAAACCCTGGGAAGTTCGAATCAAGATTCTATGCGCATCCCTTTGCCATACCGATGTTACCTTCTGGAAAATGTCTCAAGTAAGTGCCCAATTCAATCCAATTTTTTTGCACTACAAAAAAGCCCAAAAGTAATCAGTGCTCTGAATTCCAGGGCCCTGTTGCATTTTTCCCAAGAATCTTTGGCCATGAAGGAGCAGGGTAATTAAAAATCCCATCCTGAAATTGCAATCTGAAGTCGGAAATTCGGAATCAAGTTCTAAAAATTAATGTCCTTTTTTTTTTTTGATTGCTTATTATAGCATTGTGGAGAGTGTGGGAGAGAATGTGGAGGAAATGGAAGCAGGGGATATGGTAATACCGACATTTCAAAGGAATTGTGGGGAATGCAGAGACTGCAAATCTCCAAAGGGGAATCATTGCTCAATATTTCCCGATGAAATCTTCAAGGGGATGCCGAGGGACGGAACCATCAGATTCTCCGACGTGAATGGCCGGCCGGTGAACCATTTCTTAGGCGTGTCCTGTTTTGCAGAGTACACAGTGGTCGACATCACCCATGTTGTGAAGATGAGCTTGCCAATCCCCATTGATAAAGCTTGCTTGCTTAGTTGTGGGGTTTCTACTGGTAGGTATATTCTTTTGTTTACATTAACATATATCTTCCTGGATTGGGACCTCCTTTTTTTTCTTTTCATCTAGCTGGTGTATATTTTCTTCAGTGTGTGTGTGCGTGTTTTTTTTTTCTACTTTTTTTCCCCATCATATTCAACTGCCACCACTTCTTCCCGACAAATATCTTTCTCACCAATTTTGTTTGAGAACGGAAGATTGTGATTTGTAACCATGAATCTCACCATCTTTTCCCTCCTCTCGAAATCCCTCCACAATCCTCATGTCCTTTTCACAATTTGTGGTCGGATGGGAACCAATTATATTGGTTGGCATTTAGCAATGATTAACAACTAAACAGTCACAAATAGTCAAAATTTGAGAATTCATAAATCATGGTCCTTCCTCTTGTTCCGTCAATAAGAATTAGTATTGTTATAGAAAAGTTCTGTTATATATACTTTAGTTTACGTTAATGAAAAGTATACTTTCTCCATTCTAATTTTATAGGATGGAGTTTAGTCTGAATATGGTACATGTTCCTTTTAAGGTTATCTAAAATGCCCATCTTTTCAATCAGAATTTTTGTGCTGACTGATAAATAATGCTAATCAGTTCACAAATTTGTTTGCTAAGACAGGACTTGGTGCAGCGTGCAAGTTTGCAGAAGTAGAAGAGGGTTCTACAGTTGTAATTTTTGGCCTTGGAGCGGTTGGACTCGCGGTAAATATTACTCCCTCCGTTTCACTTCAACTGTCACTTTGTTGAATTAGAACCATACAACAAAATGAACTATTTTTCCAAGGATGAGAGAGAGTACTTGGTCTAGTAATCTAGTATTATGGTCTCTGAACTTCTAAGTTTTGCTCAAGGACCTAAAATTATAAATAATATTCCAAAAAGTGAAAATATTAACAACAACAAGGTTAAAGAACACATGATGGTCTTACAATTTTGAACTAAATATATATCATCAGAATCTTAATCGTCACAATTTCCCACATTTCAAATTGAGTAGTACAAAATTCGTCTAATCAATATTTCTAGCTAGGGACAAGAATCAACGTTATACTTGTTTAGTAAAATGGTTAGTTGCTACGGAACAGGTTGCAGAAGGTGCAAGAATATGCAAAGCCTCAAGAATAATTGGCGTTGACAAGAATCCGGCGAAATTCGAAATTGGTATAGATTCTACCCTTTACATTTCCTAACACAACACTTTGTTTCAGCACTATTGTATTATTATTAATGGGAGATGCTCAATGTTGTTAAGGAAAGAAATTTGGAGTGACGGATTTCATCAACCCAACTGATTGTACAGAAAAATCAGTGAGCCAGGTTAGTTTTCTATATGCATATGTCTTTCAACTTTCATATCTATGGTTTAACACTAATTTGATTATGATCTTTATGGTGATAATGGACAGGTGATTCAAGAGATGACAAATGGAGGAGCTGATTACTGCTTTGAGTGCATTGGATTAGCATCTTTGGTAGCTGATGCTTTTAGCAGTTGTCGACAGGTCTTGCCAATATAATTTTCACATGCACTTAATCCATATTTTTTCTTTTTTCCCATTTGATCACTGAACTAGCTAGTGTGTAACTTTGATAGAATCATTGATATCAAAAATATCATTTTCTTCTTTTCTCTGCTGTTTTGATATAAAAAGGGAGGAGGAAAGACAGTTGTACTTGGGTTGGTGAATGATGGCTCACCAATAAGCATCAATCCCTATGAGATTCTTACAGGAAAATCTATAATGGGATGCTTTCTTGGAGGAATCAAACCTAAGTTAGACATCCCAAACTTCGCAAAAATGTTCTTAGATCATGTGAGAATGCTGCCTTTGATCCCTTCTTTTATATGGGTGCTTATAGATTTGCTTCTCTACATTTTGTTTGTAATATAATGGTAGTTTAAATGCCTCCAAATTTCATTTGCAGGAGCTTAATTTGGATGGATTTATCACACATCAAGTTGATTTTGTGGATATTAACAAGGCATTTGATCTACTCCTCCAAGGGAAAAGCCTGCGATGCACTATCTGGATGGACAAATTATACTCTCGACAATACTGACTGAAACCAATCAATTTGGTTAAGATTGTATACTTTGTTATGTTCTTGAATCATGAGTATCTATCTGTTCTATTCTTTTTCATTGCAAGAATCACAAGAATTCCACTTCTGGATTTTGAAATAACTGCACATTCATTCTGTTTCGTTAACAACAAGTTCACCATAATTTATTTAAGAAGAGGAATACCACTTCACAAATTCTCCATGGTAGCCTTCCGTATCTGTCAAAGTCAACCAATGATAGAAATAAACAGAAGGAGAAAGAATATTCCGGTTATGACCTGCCGGAATTCTCTTTGTGGGTTCGTCATGATTCTTCATTTGAACCCGAAACCGTCTTCTCATTGCGCAACTTAATGGTTTTACTCTTTTTCACAATAACCTCCAAAAAGCATGTTTTCAAAAAGAAATCACTGGAGCAAGCAATTATTAGACAAAACCATGAGAATAAATGACTGTAAAAATTAGAGTAATAATTATAGGCCTCATCATTAATATGGACCTTTGTCAGGCTCACCATGCAGTCTAACACGTAAATTCAAACAAGATTCATCTGACAAATTCACCGGATAATAATAGATAATTAAAAGGCGAACCATGCAAATTAATTAAGCAAGCAACGAATCACCATCAACATTGTTGTGTAGACTTTACCATTCATATAGGTATCACATTGATGGTATAATCGCGCGCCTTTACCCATCGTTCAAACTCTGAGAATTTTTTTTTTGATCGGAGATGCAATAATATGCGTTCTTTCCCTAGTGCCAAACGTTGGGAAAAGGACAAGATGTCTTAAAAAGGAAAAATAAAAACAGTAACTAAAAAAAAAAATCTTAGTCCACGATCCATATTTGTGGTAAGCAAAAGTATACCCCATTAAACCTACTTACAGCTCGTCGTCGGTCCCGGGCACAGGGAACTAGATATGACTCCATGAATCTGCCAATTAAGCACGTGTGATCTGTCAGATGGCGGGCATACGATTATTTTTGTTCTTATATAGTACACCACACACAGCTTCAGTTTTTTGTTCTTCATTTACACAACCTTTGGAGTACTACTTGAAGCAGTAAAAAAAAGTCTAAGCGAAAAAACCATGGCTGAGGTTGGTTTTGCAAAGCTACCAACTCTTTTTGAGGTCGGTATTTTAATTTCATTTTGTCATTGTATTTTTTTAGTTTAAGAACTACAATCTTATTGTAGAAACGGATTAATTTGTATGGAATTATCCAGATGAAATAATAAAAATGAAATAAAAAAAAAAGGAAATCTCCGGTTTAAATGCAGTTCTCTCTGTCTTCTCTTTTGCAAGTTCAGGTATTAAGTGTGCATAACACACACCTTACTCATGCATGCTTGATAATCAATGTCCATTATGGTTCATCGACGAATAACTGTTTGTTATCTCTTCATGGAGGATTTTTTTTTTTTTTTTTGGTTGAAATGCATGCTTTTATTGGGTAGAAGAAAAAAATATAGTCCACCTTGGCAAATCTACGTGACGAGCTTCTTTCTGAATGCTAATGGTAATGCACTTATTAAATCAAAATGTCAACCCTGAAACTAAACTATCATCATCTACTTTGTGGATTTAAGGAGTAATGGAGTTGCAACAATTTTCAGGTTTTTGTTTTGTGTCTAGTTTGGTCACGGGTTCCAAACCGAAAAAACATTATTTTTGCAACAAAAAAACACACACACGCACACACAGTGCCTCCAACATACTCTTGCTGAGTGGGGAACCATTCGGCAAATTGAGTATTGATGTGATCATTTTTGTTCAATTTAAAGAACAAAATACGTACCTAAAATCATATTAATATACTACGAGAATATCTTATCCCAATCAGATTACATTCCAACTCGGAGGAGTTACGAGCCTTTGCGATTCTCCCTGTACTTGTTATGATGATGACTATAAGAAGACAAAAAGATATGAGAGGAATTCTCAAATTTGTTAGGCTTTCTCATTCTCAAGGCTGGTGATCGTACTCTAGTCCAATAGGTTATAGTGTCTATAGTCAATTTGTCTGCATCGTTAGAAGCCAAATAATTATTTATTGGAACCAAAGGTCTAATTAATTTCCTCACTTTGCTGCAACAATATATTTTTCTCAAGGGGAAACACAAACCCGTGGAAGAAGATGTGAAAAATCCAGTAACCAAATGGACCCCCGAGAGCTGGAAGTCCAAGAAAGCTCCTCAGCTTCCAGAATACCCGGATCCGGCCGAGCTCGAATCAGTTCTCAGGACTTTGGAAGCTTTCCCGCCGCTTGTTTTCGCCGGAGAGGCCCGGAGCCTTGAGGAGAAGCTGGCTGAGGCCGCAATGGGGAAGGCGTTTTTGCTTCAAGGAGGGGATTGCGCAGAGAGCTTTAAAGAGTTCAATGCTGATAAAGTTGAGGACACTTTCAGGACCCTTCTTCAGATGGGTGCAGTTTTGATGTTTGGCGGCCAAATCCCCATCATAAAGGTCCAAACTTTACTGATTCTAGTCTTAACAAAATGATTCTAATAGTTATTGAGGCATCAAAATTAAAATGCAGATAGGAAGGATGGCTGGTCAATTCGCAAAGCCAAGATCAACCCAATTTGAAGAGAAGGACGGTGTCAAACTGCCAATTTACAAAGGTGATTGTGTGAATGGATATGAATTCGACCCGAAATCGCGAACTCCCGATCCCCAGAGATTGATCAGGGGTTACTGCCAAGCTGCAGTTACTTTGAATTTGCTGAGGGCATTTTCCAATGGAGGTTGTGCAGCTTCGCAAAGGGTTACACAGTGGAAGAATCTGGATTTTATAGACCACAATGAGCAGGGTGATAGGTACAGATATGTTATGAGTTATATAGTCCTTTCATATATGATATAATGACAATGACCGTAATAATCTTTTGGCTTTAATGTTATACTCCCTCCATTCCAAAATAAGTGTCGTCCTACACTTTGCATATAGTTTAAGAAACTCTTAAAATAGGGTAATAAAATTACTTGAATTTCCTCAACTAACCCCATTATAAATTTGTCCACCAATAGCATCAACTCTTTTAAGGGTAATTTTGGAAACTTTTGACAAAAAGTGCATTGAAATGTGAGAACGATACTTATTTTTGGAATTTCTCCATTTTGCTAAAACGATACTTATTTTGGAATGGAAGGAATACATTTAGTATATGTTATTTTTATAACATATTTTATTGAAACTCAACAAAGTAGACTATTAAAGACCGAGGCAAAATTTGAGTGTGGTTATTATGGTTCTGACAGATACAGCGAACTAGCCCTCCGAGTGGATGAGGCTCTTGGATTTATGGCTGCTGCTGGACTCAGGTCGGACCACCCCATGAAGCCAACAACAGAGTTCTGGACGTCTCATGAGTGCTTGCACCTTCCATATGAACAGTCATTCACTAGACTGGATTCAATGTCGGGTCGGTATTATGATCATTCAGCTCATTTTCTGTGGGTTGGAGAGCGCACTAGGCAGTTGGATGGAGCTCATGTTGAGTTCTTGAGAGGTGTTTCTAACCCCCTTGGAATTAAGGTGAATTTCATAGTAGTATGTTGAGAGGTGAATTTCACGTTATATATATTGTGATTAATATTTGTAGGGTATTAAATTCATGTTTCATTTTTTAATTTTTTTTTTCAGGTAAGTGAAAAGATAGAGCCAAATGAGCTAGTGAAACTCATTGAGATTTTGAACCCGGATAACAAAGCAGGAAGAATCACAATAATCACCCGAATGGGAGCAGAGAACATTAGGGTTAAGCTTCCTCACTTAATTAGGGCAGTCAAAAGGGCTGGTCAAGTTGTAATTTGGGTTAGTGATCCTATGCATGGTAACGCCATCAGAGCTCCATGTGGTCGAAGAACGCGACCTTTTGATGCTATCATGGTAATTAAGTTTGGGTCCTCAACATATGTTACACTATTCTCTCCGTCCCAAAATGATTGTCATGTTTGGATTTCTATTTTTAATTTTAAATTATTTAAAAAATATAAATTCAAATTGGACAATCACTTTGAGACAGAGAGAGTATATTTTAATAAAAGTTTATACAAATGCTCTGAATTGTTAGAAAATCTCACATTAATTTGTTTGCAATTAACAGGAGGAGGTAAGAGCATTCTTCGATGTCCACGAGCAAGAAGGAAGCCACTCAGGGGGCATACATTTGGAAATGACGGGTCAAAATGTGACCGAATGCATCGGCGGATCACGTACCATTACCTTCGATGACCTATGCTCACGGTACCACACACACTGCGACCCGAGGCTTAATGCTTCTCAATCGCTTGAACTCTCATTTATTGTCGCAGATCGCCTGAGAAAGAGGCGACTCGCAACTCAAAAAGTTTCCATTGCAGCATACTAATATCTTAAAAGTTATTTAATGATGGAGGTCTTCTCTTTATTCTTGAAGTATGTTATATCAATGTATGACAATTCGTAGTATTTCCTTTGTCCGAAATAATTGTCTAGTTTGGGACGGAAGTAATACCTGTTTCTTTTCTTGAAAGAACAAGGTAACTAATGTACTCTCTTCATATATATTGGAAGAGGTAGATGGTTTGACACTTTGATGATGAAGACAATTTTAATCAAGCACAAGCTTCTATCCCTAATTCGTTTAGTTTCCTGGATTCTACTCTTTTGCTACCATCAACCATGTTCTCCTTTTCTGTGACCTAACAAAGAAAGTGGTACTCTCTCCGTTTCATAATTATTGTCCATTTTGGGTTTTCATTTCTAGTTCAAATTATACTAAAAATGAAATTCCAAACTGGACAATAATTTTGGGACAGAGAGAGTACCAAAGAACTTCTTTTCAATCTCAAAGTCAAGGAGTTTCACAAAAAGTCCTTGACTATATGTTTAATCACTACCGACCATTGAGGCATTGACGTTGTAACAACATTTTGTTTGCATACGAGAGTTTTTGACATTTTCACAATCTAGATAGACAATTCAAATATTGTTTGCATACGAGAGTTATTGACATTTTCACAATCTAGATAGACAATCCAATTTGAATCCAATCTTGGAAGCCAATTAGCCAACATGCTTAGTTTTATTTTTTAATTTTTAATTTTTTATTTTTTTTGACAAACGCCAACATGCTTAGTAATTACAAACATTTCTCTGTTTACAATTGGGGTGATATAGTCAATGCAAGTACGCGGCCAAATCCCTATTTGCAATATTGCCAAAATTTGTATGAAAAATGCAAATTTTTTGTACCCAAAAAACATAAAATAAATGCAAATTTAGCTAGCGAGTCGGCTATATAATGCATATCTCCAAATTATCAATTTGTAGCCCATTAAAACAGGGCCTCAGCCCGACCCAGGAGAACTCAAATCATTTTTCTAGATGACTCTGTAATCACCCAAGGCCCAAGATGTATACGTGGCTTAGGATTAGTGGACATACCATCTAACCATCACCACTCTGAGGAGCTGAGAGTCAGCTTCACTGGTCTTTCATTTCAACATTGTTTTCGACTCAAAAAATTAAAATAGCAGTAAAAAACCTAACCAGCTCGATTCCTTCGTTCTCCTAAGCAAGCCCTTTGTGTCTCAGAAAACGATGGCTGACGTTGATGCTGCTAAGCCACCAACCCTTTCTGAGGTCCGTATTTTTCTTTTTTTTTTTGAAAATTTTGAATTTGATTGAGAGAATTGATCTTCTTGTTGTGGAATTGGGTTCAAATAGGATTCTTGAGATCTGTTTATTCTTGATTGTTTGATGAATGCTTTATTTCTACGCTAAGTGGGTTTTTCTTTTTCGTGTGAATTGTGCTGCGAACTTGGGTTTGGATTAGCGATGATGATGAAAATATTTGTAATCCATTTGTTGATTGCATTCCAGTTGGTTGTTAATTTATATTGGATAGTTATACTGAAATGTTGCTAGTTATACCGTAAAGTATGCTTTTTCCCCCCTTTCGTACCTAAAAGATTTGTGTGTGTGTGTGTGTGTGTGTTTGTGTGTGCGCGCGCGCGCGTGCGCGCAACCGGTAAAAGTAGAAGACATTTGGTATCAATTGAGAAATTTGGGTGTGATGGAACTAATTGCAGTGACGAGCTGTAAGTTGCTGGGAGATTACAATTGTTGTTGTGGCCTATACATAATGAAGTTGGACTCTTCATAATTACATACAGTTGATGAACACCTGACAAAATCATAAGAAATCCTGTGTATTTTGATGCTGTGGTTTGGAAAAGATTGAGTGGAATTTATCAGCCTATTACACTACCTACTATGTCTATTTGTAGAACATTATGGTTGAAATCAACTTGCACAAATGTTTTTGGGATTTGACTTAAAATCTTGTATGGTTAGATCTTATATTAGGTTTGTTACTATCTTGGGTATCTCTATCTTCTGCTACTTGGATAACGGTAGCTGTTGACGTACTGAAGCAATATTTGTACTGGAAGTGACCATTTTGTTATGGCAACTGGCTTACTCTAGTGTAGGGCATTCTTCTTTAAGTCTATTGGGTCTGTTGATGTCCTGCTAAGAATCAGGTTTGGGCATTGGGACAGTAACAAACATTTGATTGATAGTGAAAAGAATGTTTTGAATCAATGTGTTATTGATCAGACTTAGATCTCGAGGACTACGATGAGTCTTTCATCTCATATATCTCCTATAGCTCAAACAAAAACACCCAAACATCGGTTACAACTAGATGAAATAGAAAATTTTTTTCAAGTTTGTATCAAAGATTCAATCTTCTTTGAGGGTATGAAGGAAGAAAGTCCAAAAGCTCTTCTGTATTTGTGACAATAATACGAATCTTTATAGATATAATAGAAATGGTCATCCCTTTTCCTTTGTTGTTATTGATAGGAACTCCCTTGTTAAGAACCCTATGAATTTATCGAAACTTCAGACCACACTGATTCAATAATAAAACATGTAAGTTTAGGATTCTACGAGTAAGAACTTCTGGCATATGAATTTTGGTGGCTACATATTGTGTCACTTTACGTCCACCAATTACTCCCTTTCTTGAACTAGGCAATCCATGCATCTTATATTTAGAATTCTTTACTTCTGCAGCAAGTTTAGGTGTAAGAGTGTTGCCTAATGATTCCACTGTCAGATCTTAACTATATGCTAAAAGGTCTACCATTGTGACTGTTAATGTTAATGATATGGAGTGGCTTTAAATAATTTATTGTGAACATCTTGGATGTTTAGAAAATAAAAGAAATGATAAAATTGTTCGATATGTTATCATGTAAAGGTGTTAACCTTAATAATGTTCATTTTCAATTATAGATTATTATACTAGTCAACTGCCGGTTAGATCTCTAGCATTTGATGTCAATTTTGGTTCCATTTATGGCTCTCACCTGAAGTAGTTATTTAAGCATGAAGATTCCTGTATAAATTATTGGACCAAAGATCGTATTTATCTTCTGATAGCTGCTTTCAACCTGATTTTTTTTCCTTTCATTTTCTTTTCTTTGGGTGCTGAGCAGCAATATTTCCTGAAGGGGAAAGACAAACCCGTGGAAGATGTTAAAACTCCAGTTGCTACTACTGTTGAGGAAACTGTTGTTGAAACAGTCAAAGCTGTTGAAGAAAGTCCTGCAGTTGAGAGTTCTGATCCTGTTGAAAGCAGTGAAACAAATGAGGCCGCTTCAGTTGAAAGCGCCGAAGCAGCTCCTGTTGCCGCAAGTTCTGAAGCCACTCCTGCAGCTGAAAGCTCTGATACAGCTCCTGCTGAAAGCACTGAAGACGCCCCTGCTTCTGAAGCTGCAAGTGGAGATGACTCACCTGCCACTGAAGAGGCTAGTGAAGAAGCTGAAGCTGCCGAGGATGATGCCCCAAAGATTAAGGTTGGTGATACTCTCATGTTTGATTGTTCCGTAACTTTTTCCTCATGACTTGCTATTTAGTGTATTCATCCATTTGATATTCTTGTTTGCCCCTTCCTTATTGTTCTCTACCAGCTCGAGACTGCTCCTGCAGACTTCCGTTTCCCAACTACCAATCAAACCCGACACTGCTTTACCCGCTATGTTGAATACCATAGGTAAGCCACTGTGGTTAAACTTTTTTTTTTTTGTATTTGGCAATGTTTTTGACTTTTAGTAATGATTTTTGGCGTGTCTATTATCCCAACCTGTTGATTTGTTCATGTTTCAGATGCATAGCAGCAAAAGGTGATGATGCTCCTGAGTGCCAGAAGTTTGCCAAATATTATCGCGCCCTTTGTCCAGGGGAATGGGTATGTTGATCTTTTTACTAGCATTTTTCTGTTCTTAGTATGCTGTGGAGAGAGATCTATTTGTTTGCTGCTTTTCATTGCTGAATCACAACAAAATTATGAATGATGACCTGCATGGATTAGGCAATGATTGATTTTACAAAATTTCAAGTACTTTAGTTTTTATCCTCTGTTTTCTTATCTTTGTGAACTGTGAATGCAGGTCGATAGATGGAACGAGCAAAGGGAGAATGGCACCTTCCCGGGTCCTTTGTAGATTTTGCGGTCTAATTGAAAGATTACTCTTGCAGTTCATTTGCAAGATACCCTATGTTTTTCCCATACGGATAGAGATCCTATTTTAAATAACTCAGAGAAAAATAAAGATTTTGCTTGTATGTTGGGAGCTTTGTTGAGGAGCAAACTTGTCTCTCCTCATGAGAGGGAATTTTTCACTGAACAGACCTTTGGAGTTAGATCCCTTTGTCCCCTGCCTTTGTATGACTTAATCTGACATTGATGCATAATTGAGTAGCTCCAATTAAGAAAATTTTTGTTGTCCTGAACGATCTTTCTTTATGTTAGAGAATAATGCTTCTTAACAGGGTTTTTTACTTCCCTGTTAAACTTGTCCTTGATGAAACAAACGGCTCTTGATGAATTTCTTCCTTCAAATAAACTTGTCCTGTGACCTACTTTACTTCATACGGTAGATTCATAAATCCATTTGACTTTCTTTTGCAAATTAAAGATGTTTTCAAAATGACTATTTCCTGGGAAGGAAAGAAATATTTGAACAAGCCGGAGGTGGAAAAAGTCAAATACTATCGGTCAACCACAAACGAATGAAAGCAGATAATTGTCATCCTCCAAAAAAACACATAAAACCATCTTCTTTGGAAAAACCTTAGCAGAAAAAGATGGCCACTTTTCATCATCAATCCTTAAAAATGGCGGCAATACCCTGCTCCTCCTCATGGTTCTCCTCTTTCCCTCCAATCCCCAAAACCGTGGCCTTTCCATCTTCAACCATCTCTCCATTACCTTTGGTGACCAGAGCTCTTTCTTCCACAGCCTCCACTACCGCCATCTCCACTCCAGCCACCGCCCCAATCCCGTCTGAAAATCCCAAAGGTAATTGCTTTTCTTTCTTTTCCTTTTCAGATTATGGGTTTTTTATTTATTTTTTTAATGAATTCAAAGTGAATATGCTAACATTCTTGTGGATTTTCAGTGTCTAAGCCTCAATGGAAGGCGTCAATAGACTTCAAGTGGATAAGGGATAACAAAGAGGCAGTTGCTGATAATATAGCCAACAGGAACTCCAATGCCAACCTGGAGCTTGTACTTGAGCTATATGACAGGTTACTGGATCTTCAGAAGGTTCGTTTTCGATTTTTTGTTACATTTTCCAGTCACCCATTTGTTGGATTGAACTTTTAAAGAATCTTGCGACGGGTTCTGTTTCATTATGCGTCCTGCAAGTAATGTAGCAAAATTCGGTTCTTTAACTTTTTTGAAGAAAAATTCAGTTCTAGGAATGTTCAACAGCTCTGTTTCTGTTCATAACAAATGAAAAAAACATGACCTAGATATTGCATTATAATATAGAAATCAGGTTTTCCATGATATGATTTGGTTTTTTCTTGTTCTATATGCCAGTGTTCTACGTAATGGATGATTCTCAATTTTCTTAATAAAATGAATGGTTTGTTGCAATCCGGAAATTGCAATGATTTACTCTTTTTGAGATATGAGTGTATTTAAATGAGGAAATTGTGCCTTCGGCGGAGTTGTTTCGTCTCAACTGTTAGCTAATTCATCACAGATAGCAGGAAGTTGAAAGGCTTCGAGCGGAGAGGAATGCAGTTGCCAACAAGATGAAAGGGAAACTAGAACCTTCTGAGCGTCAGAAACTCATAGAAGAAGGTATGTCGACGAAACCGTTAGTCGCATCCATATCATTACAAATGAATCTTTGAGTTGCATGTTTGTCAGTGCGTATCTGATTTTGTCTGGGGACTTGTAACAGGAAAGAATTTGAAAGAAGCTCTTGCTACTTTAGAAGAAGATTTGTTAACACTCACAGATGAGCTTCAGCAGGAAGCTCAATGTATACCAAATATGACACATCCAGATGTGCCAATAGGAGGAGAAGATGCATCTACTTTGAGGAAAATGGTATGCTCTTCTCCGCTGAGTATTTTAATTATGTTCCCTCTTCCCTCTTCTCCTTTTTTAAAAAGCTCATTCTTAAAGCTCTTATCTTTTGGTAGGTTGGTGAACCTCCTAAGTTCAACTTCCCCATCAAGGACCATGTACAACTTGGAAAGGACCTGGATCTGTTTGATTTTGATGCTGCTGCTGAGGTAGTCATTCTGTTCTAAGGTATTCAATAATTCAATTATCAATCAGATGCATTGCAATCCTTCCCACCTTATTTGTGGATTTGTTTGGAAGTATTTGACCTTGGGATAGCATATTAAACTAGTTTGTTAATATGTCGTGACCGTGTGTCCCGGAATCGCTCTTTTCTTTTAGGATGAGTCTAATCAATTGAATAGTTTGAATGGCATAAAGCATAGTTGCTTCTTATCAAAGTTTCATATTGTTGTTGGTCTGTATATTTCATCATTGAATCTTTTATATCCCAGAGTTCACAGCACGCATTCCCTTTTTTTTTATGCATTTATAATGTCTTCCTGACAGGTTAGTGGCTCTAAATTCTACTACCTGAAGAATGAAGCTGTTATGTTAGAAATGGGTCTTATAAATTGGGCAGTTGGAGAGGTAATGAAAAGAGGCTTCACACCTTTGACAACACCAGAAATAGTGCGTTCAGCTGTTGTTGAAAAGTGCGGTTTTCAACCTCGTGGAGCAAATACTCAGGTATTTGGAGATCTGCTGCAAATCTATATGACCTCTTCTTTACACTTGCTGATGCTGGACAAGAAAAAGGAACATGAGAAGGAACCTAGGAGAAAATAAAAATCATGGCTGTCTGTCAGAACTTGTTGTCTGTTTATTGCGTCATGCATGCTTTAAAGTTGATTACACTTTCTGAAAAATGGAAACTTAGATAATATTATTTACGTTGATCTCTTGGTTTGAACTCATGCTGACAGGTTTACTCTATCGAGGGAAGTGATCAATGCCTGATTGGAACCGCGGAGATTCCTGTTGGAGGAATTCACATGGATTCCATTCTTCCGGAGTCCTCTCTACCTCTGAAGTATGTAGCAGTCTCCCATTGTTTCCGTACTGAAGCAGGTGCTGCAGGTACTGCAACTAGGTAAGTTTGTGGGAACGATCTCTAACTACATCACTTGGTAGCCTTCACAGAATTTTCCATCATTACTAATTGAAGTGTATCATGAACTTTGATATTCTACATAACGGTTAATCATTTACAATGGAATCGACTACGAGTTCTTTATAGAATGTGGATGCTTTATTGTAAACTTGCTAGTTGTACGAGTAGCTGCGGTTCTTCGCTCAAAATGACTTTTTTTGGTTTACAATTTCGGAGCAGGGGGCTTTACAGAGTTCATCAATTTAGCAAGGTGGAGATGTTTGTACTCTGTCGACCAGAAGATAGCGATGCTTTCCACAAAGAACTCATTGAAATTGAAGAGTCACTTTTCTCATCCTTGGGTCTTCATTTCAAGTGCGAAATCCTATTCTACTCCTAGTTTTAAAATTGTGGTTACTATGATTGCTTAATTTCCTTTTACACGTCACTGGTGATTCTGATACATGCTAAATGTATACTCAGAACATTGGATATGGCATCAGAGGATTTAGGTGCACCAGCATATAGAAAATTTGACGTGGAAGCATGGATGCCGGGTTTGGATCGGTATGGTGAGGTATGCTCATAAAACCTTGATGCACCTTTCACCTTATCCTCGAAAATTGCCAGCCACTCATCAAGTCTTGATGTGTTTGATGAACAGATTTCAAGTGCATCAAACTGTACAGATTATCAAAGCAGAAGATTAGGTATTCGATTTCGTCCAGAATCATTATCACCATCACCAGCAAGTCCTAAAAAGAAGGGTAAAGGCAATTCTGCTCCCACCCAATTTGTGCATACACTGAATGCAACAGCTTGTGCGGTTCCGAGAATGATCATATGCTTGCTCGAGAATTACCAGCAAGAAGATGGCACTGTAGTTATACCTGAGGTTTTGAAGCCTTTTATGGGTGGGGTTAACTTAATTTCGTACAAATATAAGTAGGGTAACCTGAAATAAATATCTGCATTTTTGGCAATCTAAACAATATAAGTAGGTCTTTTTCTTTTTGGCACTTGAATACGTCTGCTGGAAACTGGATATCTGCTCCTGTTAATTATGCAAGAAATCTTCTAAACCCGATAGAAGCAACCTTTGCAGACAAAGATTAGTTCCTTCAACAAGGCTGTTCATGGTGTCGGGTTATGCGGTTAATCGGCCAACAAGCTTCTGTAACAAATTCGGTATACTGTCATGTGTCATCAGTATGAACATCATCAGTTATGGATAATTGAGATATCGAGTTATCTTCGACCTCCCTAATTCTTTCTCTCGTATTTAACTAATGGAAAGCTGTCAAAGACTCAAAAGTTATTTATAGTAGGGTAGTCTCAAGAGTTTGACAGATTATACGCACACTGTTACTTTCTGAAGGTTTATGACCTGCAAATCTATTTCCTTCTATCTGTCCCTGGATTCCGATTAGTCGCAATATTGGAAAAAACAAGAGCTTTGACAGAGGAGGCGATGGATCAGATCAAACACGAAAAAGGAACAACAAAAGGCATAAACGATGACAATCTTAATGCTGCTTTCCAAGTGCAGCGTTGAAAGCAATTCGATCTGAGAACTTGGAGCTTAAACAAGCAGTCTCTAAACTAGGCATTGCTAAACAAAATAATCGAAATTTCGGTGTTGCATTTTGTTTATTTTGGTCTATATAATCGTTGCTCGTTGTGTTCTTCAGTGTCTCCCGGTTTCCCTCGAAAAATAAAGCACAGTTTTTTTTTTGTTTTTTTTGTTTTTGGTTAATCAAGCACAGCTTTTTCTCTACATCTATACAACGGGTGGGAAAAAGAGATGCTGCATTTTACATTTGGCCATGGTGCTTAAGACATAACTCATCTGGATACGGTAGCTGCATTTATAATTTGAGTTTGCTGAGTTCGATTTTCCGGACAGGATAAGTATATGCCTCGTAGTTAATTTGCTGTCCCAATGAACTCAGTTTTGTAAGAGTTGTTATCAAGTCAACCTGTTAAACAGCACAAAGCAGTTTTAGTGTCAAAAAGTTGATCATGGAAAGGAAAACTTCAGTTGCAAAGAGACTAGTATCACAAAATGTAAGCTGAAGGGAACAACTTTAACAGAGAAGGCATAACAGAAGATGGATTCGGAGCTTGTTAATCCTCGAAGGTACTACCATTGGATGCGAATATAGCGAACTAGTGCCTATTGGAATGCAGGAGTTGGAAAAAAAAAAAGAGGAAATGTATATTTACCTCGTAGTCAGTTTGAGAGACAGTTTCTCGACTGCGTTGGTATTTCTGAACCCATGGGAAAACTTCTGGATCTTTGGCCAGTAGTTCTTCAGTTGCAGCCTGGTCAGGACCCAAGAATGCAGACATAACAGCCAGCTGCATCAACAAAGATAAAGAGGAAATATGACCTCATATTCAGTCGGAGGAAGTTCTACTGATCTAAGAAGATGATCACAAAAGACCAAACCTAACTATAGTTTACCTGACGGGGACCAAAACCAACTGCCTTGAACTTTTCTTTCATTTCTTCAACGGTTGCTGTCTCCCAGTTAGGCACTCTGCCTTCTGGATCAGGTTCTTCGGCATCTGACCGCCCAAATTGCCTGTCAAACAAGCCCCACTATTTCCAAAAAGATCGCACAAGTATGATTGTTAGGTCTTAGCCATTTGAGATGTTTTCGAGAATCCAAGTGAAAGAATGAATAAAACACGAAAAGCTAACCTGTCCAGATGATCCATACGCGCTGTATAACAAACTGCCTTTCTCTTCATTGCCACCACACTTGCGAATGGCAGAAGCCAAAAATGTGGACTTCACTGCACTTTGTGCTGCAACAGAAGAACTCTGTTAAGGCACTATGCTTCGTGCAAGAACGTGACAATAAGCGATTGAACATTTTGTGTTCGGCGACGTTAGCAGCATGAACAACTCAGCTAATCTAAGTGCTTAAGTGCTACTAGTATTCAACTATGAAGGGAAGCAACCTGCAAGCTGGATAAGATCTGCATATGAGATTGGTCCCCCCTTGGAGTACGAGTCAATTTCCTTCTTTGCATCCTCCAAGAAATTCATTGCTGCTGCAAGTCCTTTATTTTCTGGTCGGCTAATCTCTGAGCTTCAGTAAACAGAATTTTTACAAGCCGAAATATTAGCAACATTTCATATGATCTTAAAAGCTGAAATTCTTATCACTCGAAACTCTAAAGTGGAGAATACAAATACCTGAAACGGATTGATCCATTTGGTCCCCCAGATTTTGTGCTCTGCAAATACAATGCTGACTATATCAGTGTTTTTCAGTCTCCATTAACAATTCTAATGATACTGAAAAAGCAACAGTCATTCTTCACCTTATCATAAGTCATGGAGTCATTCAGTGCTAAAGTCAATATTGGCGGAACGAGATCTGGATTTCCCTGGAAACAAATAGAGACTTATAAATCATTAACAACAGAAACAAGATGAGGAAAATCAAATGCATTCATTCATTATGAATAATGCAGGTTGCTCTACCTTTAAAGCTGTTGCGAATGTTGACTTGATGCTTGCTAAGATAAGAATGAGAGGAACAAAAAACAAAAAGAAAGAAGAGTTAATCAGCTGAAGCATACAGAAATTATGCAAAATCAACAGTTCTTGAGTAGCTCACACTGAAACTCTGATCGCTGTCTGCGTTGAATCAAGTCAGCAGCACCAGCCACTTCAACAAACGAGACGGATCTGCTAATTAAGTCCTATGGAGAAATTACAACTGATGCAAACTCATCATCAAATCACTCCTAGAGAACCTCAGAGTATTGTCTTTCTACAACTGAAATAACATACTACAGTTTCACATGGTGTTTAGCAGCAATATCTTTCTCTCTTATTACTTGCAGGTACAATTTAACAGTTCAGCGCAGTAAAATTCGACCCACGAATTGTCCATGTTATTATGTTAAAAATGTTAAAAACGAGATTTTAAAATCCATTTTGTAGATTAACTGAATAACTATCATTTGGAAAGTACAATGGGGAGAGCAATGTGAGGAAGCGAAAGACTCACCACACCAATGGTAGCACCAAGGAGAATATCTCGTCTGCGAAAGCCAAAGCCATTTTCTTGCACATTGTCCACTTCACTTTTGCAACAAACTATACCCTGAAATGCAAACAAGGCAAAATCATGATTCTATTCGAGCATAAGGCCCTCATTTCCCAACAGAACAAAACAAGCATTATCACATATGCTAGTTAGTAGTACATCTGAAACCAAAACATGAAAGAAAAAAGAACACCCCAAAAAGAAATTCCACATGATAAACCCCACAAACTTGTCTAAGACTGGCACTAATAACATTAAGAATGTCTCATAATGCTTAAAAAATCTGTCATAACAAACACATTGATATATTAGAGTCAGTCATGGGCATATAAGGAAGCTTCCAAAAGAACTGCAGGAAATTGACATTGTGAGAGAACTTACTGAAGTTGTAGTTTGTCTGAAGCCAATGCTGGGAGGAGAAGGAACTACTGGGAGGAAAGAAGGAACAGTAGAAATGAAGGAAACCATCTTCAGTTCTGCAGATTCTTTCTGTGATTCTTTTGTCTCTGTGAAGTCTTATAGGTGTTTAGGATCAAATGGGCCATCAATGGGGTTTACGTGGGTGAGTATGTGGAATATGATGATAGAGCATATAAAGATATCGTGTTATCCTATCCTCACAAAAAAGTCCCATTCATTTCCTCCAGATTTTTCTTCCGTCAGCTTGCAGAGGTATTAAAAAGTTTGGATCTTTTTAATGGGCTAGTTTTGTGAACTTTGTCGGGAGTCTAGTTCTTACTAGAATAAGTTTAACCCTTTACTTATCATGGTTGCATTAAAGGCACAAATTTAACCTTTTTTCTTGATCTTTGAAAGATCCATTCACCACAATACAGCTGCTTAATCTTCTTGATAACAGCCCACTGATATTTGCAGTATGAAGTAAATAAATACTCATTTCAAATCGAAAATAATTATCATGTTTATTGCACAAACAACAAAGAGGACAATCAAATGAGACGGAGGGAGTAACAATAATACATTATAACATGTCAATATTTGCTCGGATGAAGGTAGTCAATCTGGGAAGCAGGTAATCCCAGCCATTCTTTCTCAAAGGAAACCCAAAAGAATAGGCAAAACTGAACAAAGGGAACTTAGGAAATAGTAAAGAACTATTTTTTCTTTTTCTTTCTGGAACTTTATTGAATTAGATAGATGAACATCCAGGATGACTAATAAAACACATCAGCTTTGTTGAGAAACAACAAAATGCTGCATTAACCTTTCCTAATGAACTTTTTACAACCTAAATCTTCTATGAAATGGATGATACCTCTAGATAATCAAGGTGCTGACTAAATGGGAATCCAAGCAACTACATCTCATAAAGATATCTAAATAATCAAGGTGCTGACTAAATGGGAACCCAAGCAACTCATCTCTGAAAGATATCGGTCAGTCTACAAGGACCCCTGCTGTCAACATATGCACATTTGCACCCTTCAAATGTTGTGAAGTCAAATGTCACTCTGCAACTAATTACATATACACCAGTGCCGTAGAAGCCCCCTCAAAAAGTGTAAATGAACTAGATTAATGCAAATGAATGTTGGCTATCTCATGATAGCTGAGCTATTCAAAATTGGTGATTCCTTCTGACACAAACAATCGGGTAATGGGTTCACGTAGAATGCCTCTTCTGAACGAAATCTGTCCATTCCTTTTGTTCCAGATATAGGACCTTTTCTCTTCCTCGGTGACCCTTGCCTGAGGAAATCAGCAGGATGAATTTCCTTGCCATTGAAAATGCCAAAAAAATTGGCTCCATAAAAGAGATTTATGAAAACTGGCCATTATAAACTTTTAACATACCGTCTTCTGTGTATCTCAATAACTCGGTTTGCCAAAGTTTTGAAATCTTTGATTGTTCCTGCCTCATATTTGTCAAAAAGCCGAACAAATGCTTTCCTAAAGAGCAAACGAAAAAAAAAAGAGCAATTATTGTTTCAGGTGATGAGATGAAGGTACCAGTCAATATAGCTAATAATATGCCTTGCCTGTCAGGGGAAATTGTTTTCTTATGCCCAAGAAAACGCCGATGTCCTTCAACTGCCCTTGCCATATTCCCAAAGTATGAAGGAATGAATACGTCACTCTGAATTGATACGATATAATCCAAAGCAGCCATTTGAGACGCGTGATTAGCAAATGGTTCAAGTTCCTCAGCTGAGGCCAACTTTTCCTGCACAATCAGTCATCGATGATCCAAACTGTATTCTGGTTTCTCAAAATGACGAGCATATGTTCTTCTTGGCACTAAATAAGACACAAGCACCAAGAGATTCACACCTAGCTATAACTATTGACACTAAGTCACATACTGCAGGCGAAAAGATGCCCAAATACCTTATTCATCAGCAAGGGAAAACGTGAATGCAGATCAGCCATATGCAAATCCCCTCCATATATTTCTCCAGCTGCAATGTATATGGGGGTGGTTGACTGAAATCCAAGAGCACTAAGAAAGATCCCAACCTCCTTGGGAGTCAATGGACAAAACCCTTTAGCTCTTTGTTCCACAGGATCGATTTCTTTTACCTTCCACCAAGAGGTGTTTTCTCTGCAAAATCAATACACGGTAAGAAAGCTAGCTGTCAACACAACATTGCATGATACTTAACAATGGTTACCTACCTAATTGACTTGAGTTCCTCAGCTTCTTCAGGAGATAAATCATGTGTGCATCCACTAAAGGACAGCATATCTTTCTCAAATCGCAAATGTAAAGCAATGTAGGGACCATATGCTCTCATTCGATCCCTCAACAACTAGACAAGATCAAAAGCAAATATTATAACAAGACATAATTATGAAAGAAGCCTCAAAAACTTGAAATAGATACTGAGCCTAGCCAATACCTTCCCCGTCGCTTCAATTTCGGGAGCAAAGCGTAATGCTTCATAGCAAGCCCGGCAGCGCAACTTTTGAATGTCTGGTGGCAGGTTATTGTTTGCTAAACGAGAATCAGACTTGGCTGCTCGAATAACCTAAAATTTTGGTCGGATTAATCCAGTGCAAACTATAACAAACTACCAACTTTTTATTCAATCATATATACCTGATATTGATCCCACATGGGAGCTATCTCTTCCTCATAGTACTGTAAACCGGACCAACTTCTGAATTGCTTGACTGTTCTATTAGCATGTGCCAGCTCCTTCGGGAGCTTTTTGATAATTTTAACGTCATTTTTCAAGGAATCAATGAAATGATCCTCGTCGAAAACATCAGAGAAATTGCTGCATTTTCCCAAGAAAAGGGAAAAAAAATCTGATGAATAGACCGAAAACAAATAATAGATTCAAAGAAACTGTTTAATTTTACCCCCTATTTAGTAAACATAGAGACAAGGAAAAGAAGATGCTATATGGCATACACAGACCTGGAATCCTGCCAGAAGGAATGCTTGTCAAGCTCCGGGATCACAAGAGTAGCGTTTATTATACGAGCAACAGCAACCATGTCACATATCTGCAAGATTACTTCTTCAGCTCCAGAATGAGAATTTAGAAAGAATTATCATGCAATATGGGCCAAATTTAAAAGCCACGGAGAGGTTTACCCGGAGAGAGGGGGGGGGAGGGTTGGGAATTTGTTGTCAATGTTACTAACATGAACAAACTTATAAATGCAGAAGAGAACCAAAACATTGCAGAAGGATACATAGTTGAGGTTTGGAAAAGAGGAGACAAAAGAAGATTGTAATGACTGAACAAGAAATTCGGAATAACACTATGAGGATGAGACTTAAAGAAAAAAACTTCTTCATCGAAGAAAAGTTTTTTAAATCAAATCAAGCTACAAACCAAGTGTTCTACCAACTAGTTTACAAAACCAAACCCTTAAATTCCTCTTCACAAACAAGTAAGATGCTGAAGTACGCATCCTATATATTCATGAAGCAGAAGCTAGTAAGGTAATGACGCTACCAACAAATAATGCCAAATGGAGGAAAATTAATCAAACAAAAGAAAAACTAATAGTGATTAAAGTGACTGAACCTCTACTGCCATAATTCGCAAAAATATAATGAGAAAGATGGGCTAAAAAAAGAACAAATTGAATGTACGTAAAAGAATGACAGGAAACATGCTCCAGGAAGAGAAAAGAAACAATATTTTCATAACCATGCAGATAGAGTTAGGACGGGAACATACCCCAGCCCTCATCTGATTTAACCCGCCATTTGTATGAACTAGCAGGTAACCACGAGATTCTGGAGGAGCTGAAATTTTGAAGGTAGTACTGAGAGTTAGTACCACATAAGCTACCACGAAACCACTCGAGAAGTAACTACTTCATATTGTCTGAAAATGCAAACGAAAGCAGAAGACACTCACGTGTATAATATGGACTTGGGGCAACACAAGGTGTATAGTCCCGATTTGGGGGTGGCTTCCATAACTTGTTTGAATTTGAAGTCCCACTCGCACCATCCAACTGTCAAATCTAAAGGAGTGAAAAAATGAAAGATGCATGACTAATTCGTGTCAACAATGAATTCTTACAATTACCTAATGACTCGTCCCACATGAACCACTAACACCCCCTCCCCACTTTCTCTGGCTAAGGGGGGATTAATTATGAGAGGAACAAGATCCCCAATCTCTTCATAGAACCACTATGTAAGAAAATTTATGACGAATTCAATATGTAGGAGAGAATATCACCTTGCGAGCAGATTGAGACGTTTTAGAAAGGTGAGGTGGAGCAAGCTCTTTTTCCCAATTTTCCTCTGTTTGCAGATTTTGATGCTCGATTTCGTGCTGCTACAAAATTAACATGTCCCAAATCAATAATTAATTGACTAGTTTCAAAAGCCTATGTACCAGGGAAAAGCTTTTACAATGATCTCAACAAATACACTGATTAAAGAAATTATACAAACACCTACTCACAATTAAACAATCACAAATGCCCAAAAAACCAATTAAATATATCTAACAGCAATCTGATCATAATCCAGCTCCGGAATTGTTTTTAGGTCATTGAATAAGAAGAAAAGAAAAGATATTATCTTGGCACCTTTTACAAGTATATACAATCAGAAGAATAAAAACACTAACCAAAACAATCATCAACTCCCTGAAAAACTGGAAAGAATCAGAAGGGCAATTCAGACTTACATCATCACAAGTCAATCAAAACCCAAACAAAGTAAATGAACCTTAAAAAAAAAAACAGAAAAACAAAGTTTTAGATACAAATACTAAGTTAGAAACAAGCGTACCGTTGTAGGCAACTTGGTGATTTCTTCAGTGGAAGGTAATTCCACCCGAATGTGAACGAAAACCAGTGCCAACAGACCTATTACCACTATAGCGCACGTTAGCAGCCTCCTCACCACTGCCACCGTCCGCCGCTTCCACTTCTGCATCACTGAATAAATTCTTCTCCCCTCCAAAAACCCACCCAGAAAAATCCAACCTTTACACTACTTCTATACAATTGCCCAAACAAAAAATAAAGAACCAGCCTTTATTGCGAAGAAAAAAAAAACCCAGAAAAGACACTCACAAAAAAAAGCTGATTCCGATGCTTTCTTGAGTTGAGAGTTGCAATCTACGCTGAACTGTCCCTTTTGGAGTTTTGGGTTTTAGGGAAACGGTTATATATATAAATAGATTGCATTTATATGCAGAATTAATAATGACAGTGAGAGAGAAAATGTAGCACGGCAGCAGTAGAAGAAGGGTATTGATTGGGATGGGAAGAGGAAAAACAGGGAAAAGAGATGCAGTAGAATCAAAATTCATCAGTGATCGCATTATTCATAGAGAACCAAAGGCGAAAATATATACTATTGGTTATTTTTAAGTTACTGGATTTAAGGGATTTTATTTTGTGATATTTATTTCTCAAACAAATTAATCACCTGTCTCACAAAATTAATCTAGATTGAATTTTAAAATTTTAAAATTTTTTAGTACAAAATTTGATAACTTAATATAGATTATTTTTTTTAGGGACATAGATAGTATTATTTCAATTGATCTCCTTAAAATCGCACCTAAAAAAAATCACAGATAGCTCATTTGTGAGAGACGCGTTTCAATTTCAATTTTCTATACAATCATATGAGTCTATATACGAATCTCTAACTTTCACATGATTTAAATTTTGTAATTTATTGTAAGCACGAATATGTTTTGTCTAATATTGGAGTTTACTGTATTTTTTTCTATATTTTTTTTAATAAAAATGTACTTTTAAATGTGATTATCATAATTTCTCTTTGATTTTTTTGATCTAAAATGTTGGAACAAAAGACAATAGAAAATTATATTCCCCTTATTTTGTTGTAGATTTTTTTTTTCCCTATAAATTGTTGGAACATCTAGTAACGGCTACTTGAAGAAGTCATGTAAAATGTAAATTATATTGGCCAAATATATATGATCATATGCTTCTTGATCATCTTCTTTTGCATGAGAACTCTGATAGGCCTCGTGACTCGAATATCTTGTTTGGTTTTTTAAAGGAATTATAGTACTATACCAACCAGCTCTCTCTCATGTTGTTTCCTTAATTTCTTTGGAACTTTATTATTCTTAATAAAATAATTTTTTTGTTTTTTTCTCTTTAATATGCTAAAAAATAATAAGGGAAATTAACATAAGTCAGCAAGGGGAAAACGTGGATGCATGGAAGTTAACTTGGAACTTCCTTTTAATTTAAGGGATCGCTTAGCCATGGAACTTGATGCTCTTATATCCGGAATGCTTACAAAATTACAATCTAGTGGATAGAAAATAATTACTATTATTGGTGATAGACATATATTAAAAAAGAAAAATTATTGTTACTTCTGTTTTTATCACCTGAGCCTGTAAGGCTGTAAATTTTGACCTGATTCAAGAACGTATATTTCACCAAGGGTATATATTATAATTTCTGTTCCAAATCCCAAATATCTGGTCGACAACATTGTTATATTTAACTTCTAATGGTTGGTTTTAAATTAATTAATAATCTATTCATAACATGCATGGCCAAACGAAAGAAACTAAAGATCTCCCCAGTCTTATAACCAATTAATGCTAATCTAGATCCACACTCTTCTCTATTCAGTTTCATTACCCTAAATTTTTATTTATAAACCCAGTGAGAAATTAATAAGGACTCTTTTTTTCAACTCTAATTAATCCATTGGGACTTGCACATGCCAATTATAAATTTCACGTTTCATAGATTAATTTTGCCAAAGTCAACTATCCAACATTTTGTCACTTGTTTGTTCCTCCTATTAGGACAATAATAGACCTCCGTTTTCTTTTACTCCCTCCGTCCCACAAAAATAATCCACATTGAGTTTTGAGTTTTGTATTGTTTTTAGTACAAAATTGAAAATTCAATATGGACTATTTTGTGGGACGTAGATAGTATTATTTTTTTTTAGTCATTTGTTTGAGCGAGGTTTTTACACATGCATTAAGAAATAATTAAGAACTAAAGAATAAAATGACTCATCACTTATACAGTAAAAAGAAGTAAAAAAGGGTTTGAAGTAGTTTTTGATGATTTCATTACTTTATTTAGTCAAAAAACACACTTAGTAACAAACTGATCACATCAGGCATGTAATTAAGATGCTGAATATATTATAATAAAGCTGCTTTCCTAGGTGTTCGATCCATCCTCACGATTCTTTTTGATTGTCGGTTAACAAATTTTGGTTGTTATTTTCTTTTGCTTTTTGAATTTTGTAGAAAATAGTATTGTGCATACGTTAAAACAGCCGTGATGTAATCAACTTCAATTCGCCGCCTTCTGAAACGGCATGGATGACGGTTTTTAGCTATCTTTCAACTTATTAGCTTTTTTCCTTTCTTTTTTTCTTCTTTTTTTTTCAAAGTATTTTCCAATTTCCACATATACATATATAAGGTGTGACGACTTCTCAAACAAAATTAAGCGAACCTTATCTAAATATTTTCGTCATTCTTGATATTCAAATCAATGCAAATCAAATATAAACACAATGTGGTCGATATTTTACTCATTAGTGCCTTAGTGGTATATATAAAAATAATACTAATTACTATAAATATTTAGTAAAATATGAACTATTAATACTTGTTTTTTAGTCTCTATAGATTATATGAACTATGTATCGATTTTTAATGTTCATAGTAGTTTTAATACCTGATTGATTCGGATATAAAGACAACTTCAAATTAAGTATTTTAGTGATGATTCTTTTTTTCTCATGCAATTTCTTTAAATTAATAATTTAACAATTTATCGATTATTTAATAATTCTCTAAATTAATAAATTTTAGTTTCCAACACTATTAATTTATAGAATTTCTACTGTACTTATAGAACTCTTTATCTTAACATTTTTTAATTTTATTATTCTTTAATATTGTATTAGACCTTTAAATAATTTTTACAATTAAGAGTGAGATAAAAGAAAATAGATTCTTCATTGAATTTAGCACCTGGTGCAACATAATGACGGAACAAAATTGCCCGCAATTTAAGGGTGATTTTACTATAAAGTAAAACATTTGCTTCAGCCCTCGGGTGTTGGGTAAGGCCCCCTATTATTTAAATTAATCAGAAAATTTTATTTTTTTCTATTTTTATAAAAAGTAAAAAATGAACTCGACCTATTTAAAATGTAAAAAATGTTAGAATTATGTTGATAATGTAAAATTTGAAATCAAGTAACATAAAATACTTCTCTTAGCCATGCAAATTCCATTAATACGAAGATGGATAGAGATATCGCTTAAATTTATTTTGGGATTACAAAAAAAGTTGATCGATATAATTAATTATAAAACTCGATATTTTCTTTAGTACTCCCTTCGTTCCAAAATAAGTGTCATTCTAGAGTTTGCACACAGTTTAAGAAAATATTAAATAGGGTAACTAAATTACTAGAATATCCTCAACCAACCCCACTAAAATAAATGCTCACCAATAATATTATTTCTTTTGATGGTATGTTTCGAAATTTTTGACAAAAAATGTATTGGAATCTGAAAACGACACTTATTTTAGAATTTCTCTATTTTGCCAAAACGACACTTATTTTGAAATGGAGGGAGTATGATAATGTCAACAGCTAGCATGAAAGTTGATTGTCCAGAATGAAAGTTTGCAAGTTAAACGAATTGAAACAATTTAATACATTGTGACTATCTCATTAGCTGAAAAAAAAAATTAAAATGAATTAATTCGTTACGGAACATTAACTAAAGTTTTTACGTCCAACAAATTTTAACAAAATAATATTTACATAATTACAAATAACATTAACTCAATCTCTCATAAATTTTATAAGAGGAATATTAACTTTACATACTCTTTTAAATTTTTCAAAAGAATCCAGTTTTATACTCGTTTGAGGCGTCATTTAACGTCATGCCGCCCTTGTCGCAATGTTTTGGAATACTAATGATAGATGGAAAAAAAAAAAAAAGAACAAACTAAAACATGTTAAAAGAGATTTGTGGAATCATGGTGTCTTCCTAATATGTTTTCCTGATATAATAAATTTTATAGATAAAATTCATAAAAGATAAATTCTACTTACAGTTTAAAGTTTTGAATTTTATCGCAAAACAAAATACAAACTTGTAAGCAACTCCATTGACAGATTAAAAGTTTGTTTATGCATCTGATAGCATGGTTACTAATACGGATATATGATGTAATTAGTTAGTTATCGTGGTTAAAAAACTAGTTACGGGATTACTTTTATCCCTTGTACATGTATATATATATATATATATATATATATTGTGGAAACCCTAGCTTAAATGACAGATGGCTAATGATCAACTGCCGTTCTTCAATTCTTCTCATGGTATCACAGAGTAAGTCGATTTTTTCTCTAAATTTCTGCAACAATGTCGCATGACGGTTCTAGTGTCGAGTCGTCCGATGAAATGATTGACAATCACAAGACGATCGCTCCTTATGACATTACATCGAGTGACTATCCGGACCTTTTGATCACTCAAGTTGTTTTAAAGGGTGAATCAAACTATGATGAATAGTCTAAGGCGGTATGAATTGCTCTCCGAGCACTCATTTCCTTCCAACAAGCCATAGAAGGTTTGCATTATTCAATTACGTGTTATAGTATTGTACTGAAAAAAAATAATGTGTTTTAGTTTAATAAAGATATAGACATTAAATTGAGATGGAAAAAAATAATCATATCCCAATCGCTTATATGACCATTTAAGGTTTCACTATCGTAAAGTTCTGAAATGCAGATGAACCTTATCATTATTATTTCAACAATATATTCTCCTTTGACTATGATAACCCATTGGCATGCAACACTTTGTCATAGCAATGACCTGAAGATTGTAAATTTATAATCTCTTTATGTATACTTATTAAAAGTATCATCACGATGAGTCATCATAGCTTTAACGAATCTAAAAAATAAAGTTTACATAGGAAAATATTTCAGAACAATAATGATACATCCAATGACTTAGTACAGTAAAAATATATAGTGACAAATGAAAAGACAAATACACCATCTACTTACTAAACATGTCTATTTATTAATCAAGGATAAAAATATAATTTTGGGGAGGAAATAAAACTTCAACGGGAAAGTAGCAAAAAACTCGGGACTATGATTATTTCACATCAGGTACTACAGTTTGTCACTTTTTTTATTCACTATATATATCATTTTCTATTTCAGAAATGATGCCAAGGTTATTATATTTGGAGTTCAGTTTTTCCTAATTAGTTGGGAAAAAAAGAGAAGAAATAACCACTTTCGTGATTCACAAGCTAGAAAAAAAAAGCATGAAGTTGTCA